GTGTCAAGAAAACTAACAACTATATCCTTTATTTCAACTTAGTATTGTTTGTTTGAATCTTCCCATCGATTTGTTAGGACTGCAACTGGTCAGTCTCTAATTGGCATATGTGCATACTGTGCGTATTGCCTCGATATACCTTAATTCACAAGCATGGTTAGCAGAGATGGATAGTAGCTAGCAGTGGAATCCAGAACGCGCGTTTCGTCCTATTTGGGACTCGTCAGCTGGATGTACCTGCATCTCAGAGTTGATGTTCACTCTGGGACTCGAACCCAGTACCCTGGCTTCAAACGCCATCGCGTTATCCACTCGGCCACTGAGTCCTGATAGCCACTTGCTTGTGCGATGGGGTGAAGTTTAAATTCAGCTTAGTATTGTTTGTTCCGTACCACTAAACTTCATCTTTGTCCCTGATATACCTACAACTTTTCTTCCTCCCTCCACATCTTTGTCACGCTCTCTAGCTAAAGCACGTGCATAAATTAAGAACTACTAGGCCACTTATCGATTTGTTTGCTAGAGCCTATGGTGAGTAGTGGAATAAGAATACTATGGTCATCTAGCATAAGTGAAATAAGCCCTACTAGGACAACTATGATGAAAAATAAGATGTATTTGCCTGAGTAGCTCTACTGAAATTGAGTATAATATCAAAAAGTCTCAACAAAAAATGTCCTCTAGATGAAGTAGATAAACATCTTACCCTATCACAGTCATCTTCTTCAACCATTTTCAAATATCGGCCAATCAATGGATGAAGTCAAATAAGATCAGACATCTCAGGTTGTCATTAATGCGTACAGGGAGTGCATATTGACCAACGAAACATTGTATTGTTGAGTTTTCTAATCATTTCACAGTAACTATTGAGAGATTCCTCAAACATTTCTGAATTTATTTTTATTTGCTTCGTGATGACCTATTATCCAATTTTCGCTCATAGGCTGACAAAAGTAGCACGCCAGAAAACACCTGATATTTGAACTATGCACCGCAAATATTCTACCTTCTTCTTTAGTTTTGAATGCAATTCCAATTCCTTCCTAGCTCTGAATCGCTGGTTTACTGGTAATACTTGAGTGGATGGCTACCTGGGGCGATTTTTTTAATGCGAAATTTACTACAGTGCCCAAAATGCCACTATAAAGGTACTTTGCATTCACATTTTGCATCCCACTACATACATTTATTTTCATAAGATACCAGGTAACTATGCTTTAAATCGCTGCCCAAGTGTTTGAATAAAATCTTTCACAGAAAACAGATTGAAGAATGACAGTGTATAAGGAGCCGTTCAGATTTTAGATCGGTTTATTTTATATCTCTGTTAAATTAACTCGGCCCGGTCACCTTAGGCTATGGAGAAATGCCATTGTCAACTAAATATCTAGTAAAGTATTCTATTTGGTAAGAGTACCTTCAGTCTGAAAGAAAATATAATTAGAGTTTAATGTTATTTTAATGATCTTGCGGAGTATTCAAAGATTGAAAGGTAAACATTTCGTGGTTAGATTGAAATCATATGAAAAGTGACCGAGAATCATCGGTCCTTATTTCTCACAGTAAAGTAGATTCAGAAATGATCTTAAAATATCAACGTTACAAATGCTACCAGGCACCTATCAAGAAAATTTTAAAATCGTTGACTGTCGCTTAAATGCGTCGAGTTTGTTCAGGTTGGTGCTGACAGTCTGGCTTTGGCTAGAGCTCGAACGTCGCTGCTTACTAACAGTGGTAAATTTATCAAGATGGAAGAGAGCTGAGCATCGTTAATGTCAGTGTGAGTATAGTTTCCATAAATTAACTCACCATTTTCATGAGCTTGTACGATCAATCTTTGTTGATTCTTGTAATTTTTCAGCTAGTCAGTGAAGTAACATATGTTGTTAGTTGTTGCTGCCTGGTTGCAAGCACTTTCCCTAACCCAAGTGTCAACCAACCATCTCACGTTTTAGCTGAATTGTGGCGAGGTTCAGACTGTCAAGATTATGATGAATGAATAACCCCCACACAGGTCGTGATGGCTGAGGAGGGTTCCTAAACAATAGCTTGATTTATGTAAGTCAACACTAAGAAACGACGTTTGATGCCTAAAGAAACTTTCGATTAAGCAAAGAACAATGAAGTTCACACCACGTCCCTCAGCTTGACAAAAACTCTGCCAACAACAACTGCTAGGTTTCAAAGTATACTCCCAGAACTTCCAAACCTAATCGAAGATCAAATCGAAGGTAAGTCACACAATCAAACTGGGCTCAAGATACCAGCAGTAGATAGGCCTAAAATCACCATAGCCAAGTTCGACCACATGGCACAGCCGTGGATTATCCGTCCTCTGATTGCCAATGGTAATCCCCCCACTCACAGTCCCGAGGAAAAATTGTGACTGGCGATCGTATGGGGATGACAGATCCCTCAACCGTCAATCTGTACTTACTAGATACACGATACCTCATATCCAAGATTTCAGAAACGGCCCACAGAGTATGAAAATGTTTACGAGTTCGACTTTGCCAGAGAATATCACAATATATCTGTAGTCTGGGAAGGTGTACCAAAAACAGCTGTTACTTGACCTTTCGGAACGTTTTAGTTTGTACGCATGCCATATGGTCTGAAGAACGCAGCACGAATGTCTCGAAGGTTTATGGACAACTTATTTTGAGATAAGCCTTTTGCACGGGGTTATGTTGACGATTTGTTAGCTGTCAATCTGGATTGAAGTCGCACGTGCAACAGATGGGAGCAGCTCTAAGATGTCTGGGTGAAAACTGAATGAAAATGCGTCAGTGTATTCTCGGAGATCAGATTTCGGAATTTCCCGGACACATAATAAGCCCAGAAGAGGTTACACTTATCAGAGGCAGTGGAAATCATTATGTAATATCTTATACTAAGTCCTCTGAGACAAATTTGAATTTTTCCAGGTTTAGTCAACTTTTATCATTGACTCATATTGGATCGTGCATAACTAATCCAACCACTGACAGATCCCCTTGAGGGAAATCCGAAAGATTTCAGTCTGAACTCCGAGGGTGCTGAGGCTGTTAAGCAGCTAAGGGATAAACTAGCTCAAGCATCCACGTTAACTAATCCAAATTCCTATTCCTCACTCACCTTGATGGAAGACGCTTCAGACAAATCAGTGGGGGATATCCTTAACCAACAGGTTGAAAATGCCTGGAAACCGATTGGAATCTTCTCAAAAAGACTAGCTGTAGAAGAGATAAGACATCTTACCTCCGGACGAGAACTCTCAATCTACCTAACCGTCATGCTTTTCCGACACGTATTGAAAGGCAGGAATGTTGTAGTTTACGTGGATCGTAAACCACTAACTATTTCATTAAAAGCTAGAGTTTGAAAATATTCTCCTTCAGAGCTTCGATAGTTATCTCCCAATTTCCACTGCTATTTGACCGGTCATCCCGGTCTCACACATTGTCCGGACGCTCCACGTACTTATAAACATTGGTGCTGTGGTTGTTAGAGGGGGCATTGATCTCGTGACCTCCGAAGGATATCGTCTTTCATCCTGAGGCGTCATAATTTTTCCTTCAACCCCCAATCTTCCTCCATTACCCTGGCTTGGGACTGGCCGTAACTCTGGAAGAGCTACAGACAGAGTTTATGATTTCATTATGAATCCCAAAACTGCCCAATTTTGATTCAAGACCAAGGTGACGTAGGCGAACGGACTTACTAAGATCTGGGAAAATTGTATTTATAGGAATGTTTCTATCTTCATCAGCAGCCTACTATTCTCTTGAAACCAGCAAATTTGTAGGACATGCTAGTCCTTTCATGAAATCATGTCTTTCCATAGATAAATTTTTTTATTTTCACAGACGCCATCTTTCTAGTACTGAGATACAAAATGTAGATGTAAAGTACCTTCATTGTGGCGCTTAGGTCTTTATATAGGTCATGGAACAGAACAGTGGGAAGTTATCTTTTTCAAACGCCCCTTTCAGAAGTCAATATAAAATAATAGGAAGTATAATCATTATACAAAATAGGGAAGTGAATGAATACTTGCGCTATGATTTTCTGACATTTCTAAGATATTTGGGTCCAACTCTTAACTGACCAACCTACGTTGTTTCAGGTCTTAGATCGTGACGTACTATCACATCCAAATTCTCATGAAACAGATCTAATGTCGCCTACTTCAGGCATATGTGTAGAATTATGGTTTACTTTGTTGCTAGTGCTACTATAATAACAGACCTAATCCTAAAATTTTAGATATGTCATGATGTGACTGCCTAATCTATAAGATTTTACGTGGAAGTCACATCATTGTCTACATTGACTCATCGTATCGTAAAAATTAACAATATGATATCTGGAGTTAGTCAAGAGCACACCTGGGCTGAAGGTAGGATATTATATTTAATGTCAGTTAAGACAAGTTATGCAGAATGACAAGGTCTGTGAGGTTGTACCATGTTATTCCATCTATTGAATTGGGCATTTCGTTAAAATTGATTGCAGCCTCGAGTAGAACGCGATGTCGAAATTGCAATTACTGTCAAGTAGAACAAAGAGTTTCAGTGTGTCGAAAGCACGGTTTTGGCATAGCATTTATAGGGTAGGCATGAAGACAGTTCGGATATCAGAAAATACTGTAAGATGAAGATAGACGATTAGAGGCTATGTATATGTACCGTATAAATACAATGTAACCTGTCACATTACATACGATGCACTTGCCTATTGTCTTGTTTTACAATACCACTTATCATGCATGACAGTATGGAAGCCAAAAAGTCAGAATGACACTTCGAAACCGAACTTCCTTTCTTTTTTTATCTTTTTGTGCTTGAATAAGCATCCCTTTGTATGCATTGAAGATGTGAGTTTGTTGTAGGTTGCCCTTCACGCGCGAAGATTGAGTCTTGACGTTAAGATCGTACTTCAAGGGGTCACTCCTGTAGTACGTATCACCAGGTCGTCAAACAACCATTTAATGTTGTTTTTCTCCCTTGCTGAACATGGCTTGTGATAGTCTGTGTAAGTTATTTATGGCTTAAATTTTTATTTTAAATAGTGGGTCTTGAAGATGCTATGGATATGTTTCTTCAGTCAACGGACTTGGTAATTTTGACGTTTCGTATAATTCTTCGTTCAGTTTAATGATATTGATATGGGTGAATTCGACATTGCATTAAAGGCTTCAGAGCTCCTCGAAAACTCAGACAGTGATAGTGGAATAAGCGGTTTGTCTGCTTTTATGATAGTCATGTCTTTAAACAGTTGCAGGGGAGAAACAATCAATAAACCAGGAAATTAATGTGCGGCCCAGCAACACTGGTGCTGATTATGTTCTAACTGATGTTGTTGATGCTAAGAAACATTTGTCCGATATTTTGCACGCAAGTAACAAATATTGCGGAAATCAAGTGATGAGTTCGTCAGAAAGCGTACCTGTCAATATACCGAGTTCTAACCCTACTATTCCTAAATTTAAGCGGATTATTGTAAACTCTGTTGGTGAAAGACGTCTACTACATAACTCTTCTTTGGTAACACCACATTTTTCAGCTTTCTATCCTCAGAACGTAAATTCTGGTGTTGGTCACAATTTGCCTATATCAGGTGTATTACAGCAGTCGGAGCATTTTGGTGTCCCTGTTAAAACGGTGCCTTCTTGTATTACTCCGTTGTTCGAGTCCCCGAACACATTCCTGGGATCTTCTGCAAATTCACCTACGAAATCAGGCATGGATTGCCGTTGTAAGTTGTATGCAAGACATAGACAAATATTTCACCTACTAATAACGTAAACATTTAGAGCGATAATATTGTACTACACAGATAATTCTCAAAAAAATCTATAACAAGTTACTTATAACTTGCAGGTGTCTTTGATTTCTATGGTTACTATTCATTTCCCTTAAGTAATTAAGAGCAGGTTGTAATGGAATTAATTCACCATTTTGTGGACAAAAAACATCTTGTTCTATACATGACGTGTTTTATCAAACTTGATATGGATTTTGTGAATCCATGCGGGTGTTTATGAAGTACCAAAAAGTTAAATTTGATCGAGAGATTCAGGACTGTTTCCCTAGTGCTCATATATATATATATATACTGAATGAAATGTCCTAAACAGGCCTTCTTACTTTTGATTTTAATCAAAGACTATTTCATTTCCCCCATTTGATAAGCTGTAAGAAATTTAGTTGATCCATTTCTGGACAGAGCCTAATTCCATCTGTTGTTTTCTATCCTAAGTCCTATTTAGTTGTCTGGTAATCATGTGACTGGAAATATAGAGTTACTAATTCACATATTTTCCATTGTAAAAGGTTTGATCCATTTAAAATGTACAATAATTAAAACCAGTAAGTGATCAACACTGCCCCGAAACCGTATGAGAATCAGAGTCAAATCCCACCTTCAAGACACGAGGTTAATGTACAATTGGTTGCTGGTCAGTGGTAATAGGAAAGATTCAATATCGAAGAAACGATCCAAAAATATAACTCAGTGAAATAATAACAGAAAGGGTTGTGAGGAATTTATAATCCCACGATTTGGCTGAAGATGGAGAATGGATCCACCTGCGCCACTGAACACAACTTTGAGCCATATCATTTAAGGTCTAACCTTTGGTAACGATAATCACACCGACCCCATCAGGTTGTCTATATTTATTAGCACATCCAAATCCAATTGTCACTAGCTTCATGGACTAATGCCATGTTTTGGTTTGACCGCCCCTAGCTAAGCTCCACCTAAATATCAGGTTACAATGAAAGTCATGACTATTGAAATGATACCATTACAATATTCTTCAGTGGTTACTACCAGAAGATTCCTTTCTTTACTATCCCAAGCATGTAATTTTTAACTACTACGTTCCAGTTCCAAGACCAACTTCACTTATTTTGACATACTTTGAGATCGCTAACATTCACAAATTGTATAATTCATACCTCAACAAAGGATTATACACTTTGATTCATGATCGAATTAAAGTGGATTTCTGAGTACCATTAAGTGCTCATATTGTACAGAAGTCTGGTTAGTATCTCTTAACGTCTGTAAAACATGACAATCAAGATTGTAAGACTAGTCAGTTAATAATGTTTGATAAAAAATACCTTCAAGCCACTGCTAACGTAAGGTGGAACCAACGAGTAAATAATTTGGTTTGTCATATAGTACATTGTATGGGTGGTAACTCAGCCGAAATGCGAACGTCCAATAATAAAGCGGTTGAGGCATACCAAGCGAAACTATCACCTACTGCTACTCATTATATGATTCTAGGTGAGATAGTGTATACGGAGAAGGATATCTGAATAATCAAGTTATAAACAGTCAGACCCTAAAATCTTTGGTTGAGTCCTCGATGAAACAGGAATGTGCCAATAAATAGAATTACTAATGAAACGTTTATTCCCTTGATTGATTTTGGTAGTGTTTTTTCGTCAATTTTTCTTCCTAGGGATTATGTTCTTGACCTCATTTTTCTTATCTTTTTTTAATCAGCAACTGAAATTAGTAGTTTATAGGAAGAAACTTATTTTTCATAGTTTCAATAGCGAATTGATCTTAGCTGGACAGTCATCAAAAGCCTTGGAGAACTGGACAACCATTTCGTCTTCGCGTGGGACTCCTAGAAGCGCGCATTCAGGGATCAGACCCAGAACCTTCGGTCTCGCGCACGAACGCTTAACTTTTAAACAAGTGAACTGGTATCCAACAATAATGTTTAGCTTCAGTCAAATGACGATTCTTACTTACTTACTTACTTACTTATTCATTACCTGCGGTAGGTAACTGTCTTACATCCGACACGGTCGAACACCACTGGTCACCTCTTCTCACTAGAACTCGATTTGCATTCCAAAGCTGTAATCCCAGGTACGAACTTCTGAGGAGTCCCATATCAGGACGAGACGGTTATCCATAGTAGTTTAACTAAAATCATTTCGTGATTTGAACTGAAAATTCTGTAATTTCCGCAGATGACCCAAACGCAATTTTGTCAAGTTCACTTATTTTTGCGTTATGTTATTGTGAGTTAGTTAAATAGGGAACCTAAACACCATGTAATCATCTTATAAGATGTCTCTGTCAGAAATAAGGCAATACATACGTAGTTCGAGCGGTTATTTAACCCTGTCCTCAAGGTTTTCTATTTGCCAATCAACTAGCTATGCTATTCTGTTTTAAATACTTGATATGTACTATTATCTTTCCTTATAAGCATTAGACAAGTTGTTTCCCGCAGTAAATGGGGTAAATGAAATTTATGAATACTGTAAAAATTCAACTCCTTCAGATCCTTCACTATGGCAGCATTCAGTAAGTTTTCCAGTTTGTTACTTTTATTAAATTCGAAATATTAAATATTAAGATTGTTTTGGGGAAAGACTTTTTACTGGTTCCCTCTTCAAGGTCTACTGCTTTAAAATAGTAACTTGTAGTTGAGGAATTTAAGGAAAGAGTTAAACATCCATTTTCTCTAAATTTTTTGTTGGCTAATTCAATATTTAGCATGTTACATTTATTGTTACTTCAATATTTCTGTGTAGTGAAAAATTGCAGTTGTCAAAATATATTCATACGATTTCTCACTTAGTTTTCTTATGATATTGAAAACGTACAGTAATGCATAGCATAACAAATAGACTCACTTAAAATCTTCAAAATATTCCTCATCTGTAAACTATGTTGCTTCAAATTGACATATTACAATTTAGTGCTATCTTATATTTTTGTTTACTTGCCATTATGTATTCTTAAATCCTAAAAACGAAATATCAACACCAAGCTTTTTAAAATCCGAATCTAGTGTGGCAATACAAGTAAATTGCTTATAACTTCAAAAACGTAAATAGCTTCGGTATTGTTTAATTTCATCTCATAGCGAGTGTGAATATTGACTAAGTTTATGTAACAACTGTTATGGAATTGCTGTTCTGCTGGTTTGTCAGTAGGGATTTCAGATTAAATGATAGTAGCTTTTATATAGATAAGTCTTAGTAGCCCCAAAACGTTTTTCAATCCTTTCATCTTAAAGTAATAGCCAAAAATGCCCGGAAGTTGGTTACCCACTAATATGATTTTCGTGACTGTTAATATGTTTTAAGTTTGATATTTGTTGGTTTGTAAAAGTTTTCAGACTATTTTCAGTGGAATTTTAGGTAATTCTGGCATGGAATTCATAGTTACGACGGAAAACAGTGGTAAACAAGTTTTAATTTGTTTTGTGACTATTATAATTACCACCAATATACTTATTGATAGCTTAAATTTTCTATTTCATCAGATTTATCTTGGAAGTTGGTTCCCAGATGTATGTGATTGTGTGAATAAAGTGTCTATTTTCCCATACAAATTTCTAGATGTTTTCTCTTAGCCAAAAGTATTATACTTCAGCATATATTTCATCTGTTCATTTCAGTGAACAAAGCAAATATTTAATTTCTGGCAATAGTTGCCCGCAGATCTGTTAATCATTTTCCAATGCGTGGTTTTGTATCACTACCACCTAAGGCAACTGGTAGTAAAGAGTTTCAATACTAATATAGATTACTCAAAAATTCATTAGGATTGATCTAGTTAGTTCGTCTGTAAGAAGTTTGTAGAAATAATCAAGTAGTTACTGAATGCTTGTGTTTAGGTGAACAACTATTTCTACTCACTATTCTTTTATAATGCTGATAATAAAGTAGTCCTATCAACACTACTAGTTAAAGGTTGCTGTGACTATGTAAATCAAAGTCGAGGTATGATTTGGACGAAGTCCTTGTGTGGTGTATGTTTGCGCGATATACACCTATATTTTCTTTATTCTGGTTATTCACTTGTATTCATCAGGGCTCCTTATCACTTGTTTTTATACAGAAAAGTATCTCAAGTACATCATATCCTGACTCTGTTTTCGGGAGTAATTCTCAATTCTCACCAACGTCATTTCTTGATGTGCAAGATTTTTCGGGACCTAACGAATCCATCATAACCCACACTGACTTGGAACGCATACGTAAAAAGCAAGAAAGAATGATTAAAAATAGACAAGCAGCATGTCTAAGCCGGTTACGTAAGAAGGAGGTAATTCACCTTGTACTATGTTTATATGTCATAACATTAGAATTTTAGATAATTTGAGTGTGTTCGGATTTTAGTCCTACTGATCATTGCCACTTCTAAGTAATTATCAGTTTTAGTTATTGTGGCTGGGACGGACTCGTAAAATTAGTAAGCTTTATAAATCTAAAAATGCATGGTGCTCAAACTGGTCTGACGAATATGAAGGGTTCACCTACCGCAGTTGAAAAACCGTTTTTCCAAGCCAGTAGTGTACATGAAGATTTTAAGTGAACAAGTAGCGTACAAGTTTATTCCGGTCGTAGTTCACTATGCCACTGCTTCTCTTGATGTTTCTATAATACTGCCTTGATGATTATACCTTTAGGTCATATGCCTTAAAGGTGATACCTTGAGAAAACCACCTGCATCGATCTGGACGTTCACAGAATATTTCTATTATCTCTCTTATTACAACTCAGCTACTTTTATTGCTCAGTATTCTTCAGACACTACTTTACTCGACAAGACCCCAAATCAGAACACGGTTGAACAGGAACGTTATTATATTCCAAACAAACAAGTTAGAGTGGAAGTAAGAATCACTATGAGAAAAATGTTAGTATATTAATATTTTTGCACGAGAAGATTCTAGAGTCTTGGCTAAGAAATGGCCATCCAGCATGCTTCGACACAATCCATATCCCGTTTAAAATATCAGTCCACATACAATGATGACGAATAATTGTGAGAATGTTCTACTCCCTTCACTTCACAAGAGAATTTCTTTTCGATTTCTAATCCACCTCAATTCCATTCTGATTACTCTTACTCTTCAGCTCACTTAGTAGCTCGTCTCTATTGAAAATACTGTCTTGTCTAAACAGTTTCATGTCTCTCAATAGTCGGTTTTATAAATTATTTCATAGAATATAAAATCCGACATAGCTTTCGTCTACAGATTGTGCAAAACCTATAATAGACTGACTCGCGTGGAGCAGGCTGATTTTTGTTCTTCAGTAGTATATATATTGATCACACCAACCTTCACCAAATGCTGGAGCACCACTACGATTATAGCAATCCAAAAACCATTATATTTCTTGACATCAGGGCTACCTTTGACTACTCTTAGGCCTCGTATTTAAGAAAACGGTGTGACTGAGACATTTATGAACATTTTAAAGGTCTTATATTCTAGCACCTCAGACCGGCATAAAGGCATGCAGCTACCTCTTTTGATTGCTCCAACCTGACAATGGAATTAAGCAGTTTTGCTCAATGTCACCATTTTTCCCCAAATTTACCTTTGATAACATCCTGGTAACATCTCTAAAGAAGTACGTGGTAATGAAGGAATCTTCGATCCTGATATCTTGGAAGTCTGACCAGCCCTAATGAACTGACGTCTGACGAAGTCTGTGCACGGATTCAAAAAGCTCGTTTGGCTTTTTCCAAATTACGTCACCTATGGCGAAGGCGACATATCCGTCTATTAATTAGAAGAGGAGTATACTGAGCAGCAGTTCGCTCTGTTCTACTTTACGGCTGCGAAACGTGGTCATTAGGGGTAGAAGATAACCATAAGTTACTGATATTTGATCAAAGATGTCTTAGAAATATTGCCAGCATCTTCTGGGATCAGTCAGTCAGTCAGCGACAACGTAGGACCAGGCACATATATGCATCGGTCCAAGTTGCGATACCTCGTTAGCACAACAAGATGAACACCGGATTCATAGAAGTAATTAATTTAGTGGTGGTAGTATATAAAGAAAGGTTGTATATAAGGATATAGTATAAGAAGGGAAAAAAAGTCATGAAGCAATTTTAATATTAAGGTTTAAGGGAAGACAAAGAGTGTATATACCAACTATGCCATTTTGATCGATGCTGAGCCATGTCACCCAGAGTCTCCAACCATTTATTACGATAGTCACGCGGACCCTAACCAAGTAGTCTGCATCTACCAACATGGCTCACACTTGAAGTTAGTGACTTCAAGCACTGATGCCACGTTTTAGTTTGGCCGCCCCTAACTGTTTTCCAACCATCCCCAATACTAGTCAGCATAGAGCGTCGTGGTAATCGGTGTCCAGGCCCTGATGCTGCTTCCCGTGGCCTCGCATGAGTAGGTATAGCATTCAAGCCTAGGGCAGAACTAGCTCCATTAGACTGGGTCCCAGTAAAAAGTTGTTTGTGTGCTGTTCGACTAAACGGAACAGTAAGGACTCAGAAAAATAGGGACACTTGTCTTTGCCTTTAAGCATAAGGAATAACATCTTTTGACATGGCGACCCTCGAATTCGTCTTAACGTTGGACCCAACTAGATCACATCGCTATCAGCCACAGATGGAGGGACTCGATTTAAGACCGTCGCTCATTCTGGAGCACACGTTTATATTCAGATCATGCTCTAATGCGAGCACATATTTGTCTGCGTCTTGCTGTAGGTAGGAAAGACACTGCAAGGAAGCCTCTTAGAGTTCTACTTAATGATAGCCAAGCTAAGAATATATTTCAGGAACAACTAGAAAAACAGTTAGGCAGATGTGTAAGTTGTGTCCACCTCGAGGCAGCGTGGGATAACATCCGTAAAGCTGTGGAAACAGCCGTGATATCTGCTAATACGGTAAACCATAAGGATAGGGAAAAACATTGGATCTTATCAGCATCTACCGCACTGATAGATGCTCGAAAACTCACCCCACCTGGCTCTGAACATGACGAAGGGTAGAGTCAGCTTAAGCACAAACTGATAAGAAGCCGACGCAATGATCGCGAACAGTGGTGGGTAGTGAGAGCAAGAGAGATTTAAAAGGCAACAGCAGACAACTGATCAGACTTATCAAGGAAACGTGTTAGAAACTCAACTGTTAGCGAAACTATCTCGGAAAGAGATGGATATATTATTCACTCTCAATCTGGGAGATTGGATCGATGGGCAGAACACTTTAGGGATCAGTTCAACTGACCTTCAGCCACACTTCGGTTTCCCGCGATTCCCAATCGACCTGAATGGCAAGTTAATGTAGGTCTACCAACTCTATACGAGGTTGATAAAGCTATAGGAAATCTGAAGCGAGGGAGGGCAGCAGGCCCTGACAGGTTTACCTCTGAGATTCTTAAGGATGGCGGTCCAGTACTAGCAACGAGATTGACTGAGGTCTTAGGTAGAATCTGGGAACTGGACGTAATTCCATCTGACTGGTCCCAATCACTGATTGTGCCAGTCTATAAGAAAGGACAAAAGTCCTCTTGTGACAATCACAGGGGAATCAGTTTGACTAATGTAGTGCCTTAAATATTAGCTTCAATAATACTCGAACGCCTAACTAAAGCTCGTGAAGAGCAGGCTATAGAAAATCAGGCTAGTTTTCGACCTGGACGTGGTTGTATAGACCAGATATTCACTCTACGTCAGGTCCTAGAACATAGACACAAATTCAGACGTCCCACAATAGTAGTATTTCTTGACCTTAAGGCGGCATTTGACTCCGTTGATCGTGAGGTTCTATGGCAGTGTTTGTCAGTGAAAAGAGTACCAAAGAAGTACATTAATCCCTCTCTACTCGAACACAACTGGTCGAGTTAGAGCTTATGGCGAACTGTCATCAGAATTGATTACCTCAAGTGGTGTTTGTCAGGGCTGTCCACTCTCCCCATTCTTGTTTAACTTTGTCGTTGACATGCTTTTAGAAATAACACTTTCCTCATCCAAATATAGAGGGGTTGAACTTTTACCGGGAGATTCACTTGCTGACTTAGAATATGTCGATGACATAGTTCTATTTGATGAAGACGCTGACTAAATGCAGAGTCTTCTGACCACTATAAGCAACAATGCAGGCATGTTCGAGATTCGATTCTCTCCCTCGAAATGCAAATTGTTACTTCAGGATTGGGTTGCATCAGCATCTGAACTAGTGATAGGGAGTGAAGTAGTTGAGCGTGTCGACCACTTTACTTATCTTGGGAGTCTCATCAGCCCTTGTGGTGTGGTGTGTGACGAAATCTCAACACGGATACAGAAGGCTCGTCTAGCTTTTGCCAAGTTCCGTCATTTTTTGGCTCTGAATAAAAGTTAGTGGTGATGCTGCCATATGCTGATTTTAAAAGTGAAATAAAGTCCCTTAACTGACTGGCTGTAATTTTAACTGGACTGATATTTTTGCTTATTCATTCATATTACCATACTTTTTTCTTTTTGTTGAGGGTTTTACATCCCCAACCCAACGTATAAAGAACAATCAATCTTCATATCATCTATCAGTTTTTGGTGGTTTCCGTACAGTCACCTTCAACGTATCTTAGCTATATTGATTTATTCACAGTGTATTCTATTCATGTACCTTCAGTGTGTTTTAGGTCATAATTAGTTAGTTGATTCCCAGTCTGTTTTGTATTAATTAATTCACTATAATTCTATGTTCGGTAAAAATTACTCATTTAGTAAATCTTTTCGTTGATATTTACTGCGTCTCTATATGACTGAATTAACTGGAATGTAGATTGATGCTTCCAGGGAATGGAATCAAGAAAGTTTCTATACAAACTATACTTCAAACCCAGGTTGCGGAATAAGGAAAAAGAGGGTAAAAGTGACTTCTTTCACCTTATTGAAATTGCAGTTGCAGAACATTAGCTTAGTGCACTTCTATTTCGCAATATTATCACTTCATTTTGCTATGTTTGAAGAGATTATAAAATCACCTAAAAAAATCGGCGAACGGAACGAAGGATCAGCGACACAATGACAAGACAGCTTAACTATTTCAATACGTCCCAGCCCCGCTAACTAGGGGGACGAGTCCAGGTTCAGATGAGGGAAAGTATATTCCACAAGCAGTCAGAATCACGAACATCAACAAGCTCACAACTCAAGCATACATATGTAGCATAAAAATCTCCTTGGGAAACGTCACAAAATAGCATATTAAAAGAGGTAACCAATCAATGACATTTAATGTCCTTCCAAGTGAGAAATACAATCTGAAGCTAAAAATGGGCACCTTTAGCGCGAAAACGAGAAATTCGAATTTCCAAAATAAGATTACAAAAATAAGACGTTATAAAGTGAGTTCTGGGGATCTAGCATCCCCAACACATTTGGATGGTGCATTATTTTGACACCTCATAGTATCAGGATTTATTTAAGTTAGGAGATTTTACTGGTTATAGGTTGCGGTGAAGCTGTTACATTCATATCGTTTTTTGTTTGAATTTCTAGTTTAGTCTCCCTCCGTATTTCCTATCCTTAGGTCATATTCCTTCCTTTCAAATTATATATCTTATATTTCACTTTCCTCTGTAATTTACATGATCTTCACTTCGTCTCAGTTGAGAAATCTGACGTAATAAAGACCACCTAATCGCGTTTGCTTAAGACTGGAGAATTTTTAAATGTATTGCTTGTTATTGTGGAACGCCATTTTGTGAAATCAATTTGTACCAGGTTGGAACTCCAAATTATGGTTTCCATTTTATCACTTTTTAAAAAATTATAAACAAACCTATTGTTTACACGCCAAAATTTCAGTCATGGGTGCTTATCCACCTTCTGCTTTTAGTACCTGGAAAGGTTAGAAATGAAGTTTGAGCAGCTAAAACGTGAAAACCTTTCACTTTGGCGTCAGAATGAGGAGTGGCGTGCACGATGTTTTCGTTTGGAACGTTGTATTGAAGATTTACAATCACGGCTTCCAAGCTCTATAAATTCAGAAAACCTAACCGTTAAATCCCGGTCGTTTGAGATAAGTTCAGACGAGGCGTCAAATATTTCGTCACACACCGACAAACAAATTACTCCTCGCGAGGCTTGTAGCAAAACAGTTTCTGTGCACACATTAAAACCTCTCAATGAAGTCTCTGTCGGTTACAAATCGAATGCTCTACTTAGTCGTCTTCCAAGGTTGTCTGATCTTGGAAAAAGCAAAACCGTTTCAGTTCAGCATTTGAAAAATTGCCAAAACGTAGTTCCCACTCAAAAAACGAGTAAGTTTTATTATTTATAGAATCAGATTTTATTTCCACGAACATTTTCCATATAAAGGCTTTTAATGATCATATTTTGTTTATTATTTAGCTTTGAGATACTAATTTCGTGCCTTCGGTGTTTAAAAAGCACTGTAATATCCGAAATAGCCTCCTTCTAATTACATCGGAGTTCATCACATCACACACATAACATATTAACCGATATTTCATACCTGTCAACAATTTTTAACTAGATGAGATGTGTTTGTTAACACAGTTCGGGAAAGTGATTTATTTGTGTGATTTTGGCTTACTTATTAAAAAATCTATATCGATAGAGAGTACGTAAGTGAAATATCACTATTTAAGACTGCTGTTGAAGGAGGAGCATTCGTCGTTCACTGTGCATTAGTGATCTATCTATCAATATATATATATATATATGTATATATATATATATATATATATATATATAATCTTCCTCAGAAATATTGAAGCAATAATGCTACATCTACCTACAATCGGTTATATTCATAGATATGTATAATATCAGAGTATTGTATAACGTTGAAATTCACGTCTTTTATTTCGTTAATTCTTATTTCAGCCTACTTTACGAGTGTAAATTCCCCAAGGACGTTCAAATGGGATAGTTCTTCAAAGAGATTATTACTTACAAGTAAAGTTGATGTTGAATCACATTCTCAATCTTCATCACATCAGTCTCAACTCAAGTCAATTACTAAAACCTTGATTTCTCCTCAGCGAATCGTTCGTACCGTCAGTCATCGATCTAAAGTAATTGCTACCACAAGTTTATTGGTTATGTGCGGTCTGTTTGCCATGAATATAGTTCCTTTGTCAGATTTATCTTCTGGATTAGGATTCATGCCTTCACGTAGCATGTCTTATGACGGTGATTCCCTTGCTACTGGAAAATTTGGTAATTTCTATTTCTAAAAATAAATTCTAACGCCTTCTAAAAATTCATATATAATTTGTTATAGAAATTATATTTGTGAAACTATCAAAACCTTCGTAAATTTTCTCCATATATATATATATACGGAATTCGCAATCCCATTCTATGACTCAAAAGATCGCTAGTTGGAATGATATTTCTGTATATAGACGATGTGGCGAAGGAAAGTTCCTATTCGATTGTGTTGTGGAGTAATTAGCAATTATCCAACCTAATTAGTAGGATGTTGTTAAATGGATGTTACATCATTAACTAAGTGGTAAAAATATCGACAAAAATAGTTGCGTAATGATTTGGATGTTGACTTAGAAGCTGGAAATAGGTTTAGTCGTAATACAATATGATAATATATATAGCATAAATGACCCCAAGAAGAAACAAGTAGATGTTGATAGCAATTTATGAAGTATAAGTATTTGGAAGTGAGGTTAAAGCCTTCGTAGTTACAGAAATCAGACATGTCACCTTTGAACACAAATCAGGGTTGAATCGTTAGAATAATAAATTTTTTGGTCCATACTTCATTTGAACCGATTCGCTTAACCTTTTAGATCATTTTTATCGACAATAGTAAAGTAGATACACTACCAATCACAATGGTGTCGAGAATGCAAATTTAACTTTTTCATATCACTATTGATTCATTTTGGTCAGTGGTTCTGTTTTCAATCGAAACTATGATTGTTCCAATTTAAAAGACCTCTAAAGATATTTCTAAGATAGATCTGAAAAAGATAAGTGTAGGCAGAAATCATAGGCGTTATCTGAGCACAATTCTAGGACTGAACTACATTCATTCTTGAAAAGTAATAATACACTGCAGAGTTATTTCTTAAGAACGTTTCTCTGCATATTTCCCGCTTATCTACCGATTTAAATGTGTTGTTCTTCTGAATGAATCTTTAATAAGGTGTCATGAATTTAAGATCATTTTTATCTTAAAATCTGTTATCGCAGAATGAAGTTGCTATCATTTGTACTGAACTTCATATTTATGTAGGTATGTGTCATCCGGGGTTCATAGTTTTCAGTTTTCGGTATTATTTGTTTTGACAAGCGCTTTTGTGTTCAAAAATGGTTTTCACTACATTGAAGGCTAACTTCCGAGATTCGCGGTTGAAGAGTAAGCGAATAATTATGCAAAATGACTGTAAACTTCACAAACTAGCATAAAAGTGATATATCTATGTGAAATTCCACTGCCCTGTATCAACACACATACTTCGTAAAAGTATAGCAACCTGAATTCGGTATAAGAATTTTACTAAAGCTTCCTCTTGATAATATGTATCAACGATTTGCTGGAGTCGCCGGCGTGAAAGATTTGTCTTCCAGCTAGGTTATTCCGGATGCGTTCAACTTCCAACAAGAGGAATGATCATCCTGTATTTAAGTAAACGAAATCATTGAAAAGAAAATTTTCTCCACTGAATTGTCTTTGATTCTTTTTCAGTTTAGTCTGTCTGACTATCGTTATTTATTTCCTGAAGCGCTTTTTGTGTATTCTATACTATTCAAGGGTATTGGAAAGGGTTATAATTATATAACCGGGTGAAAACTGTTGATTCCAATCGTAACACCTTGCCCTTAAATCATTACAATCTGTTAAGTTTGTTCTTCTGAGTGTAATTATTTCTTATCGTCAACTACTTACTAATGAGTTTCGTTGGTTGTTTTTTGCGACTTCTTGATGTTTAGTTTGTTATCTTTTCTATTTTTCAAAATTTTAGCTTTTGGTTATCCGAGAGTATGGTCATCTGTGCCACATTTGCCAACTGGGCGACGTCTTTTATTAAATATTCCACCTACACAAGAAGATATTTTAACAAATGATAATTCACTGCAGAACGCCTCAAATAATAAATTTCTATTTTCTGGAAAAATTTCAACTAACCATTCTACTAACAACTGTGGTCCTAATAAAAACATGAGTTGCTCAGAGAATTCCTTACTTACGGATCCTAGGCAAATTTTCCAAGTGAGTCGGCATTCCAACTTATTGTTATTACTCTGTAGTTATAAGCTGAATGTTTGTTCATACATTTTTGTTTTTTCTTTGTTATTCATATATCATCTAAGTTTTTTACTGCTTACAGATGTTAGTCTGCAATCATCGTTGTTCGAATCTCTCATATAAACTAACGCTATTCCTAGTAGTTTTAACAAAAAATATGGATCAGCCTAATTCATATTTCCGTACATTTGAACAATACATCGGAAATAATAATGTAGATGAAAGTAACTAAATAAAAATCTCTTGATTTCGTCAATTTTGAGTAAAGCATGCTAGATAAAACGTAAATGTATTTGTCTTAAGGGAGTTAATTTACTTTATTTGACCACTGATTTCTTTTATTTAGGCGGTCTAGTAAAAAGTCGTAATTAATTGAGATTCGCTTCAACAAACTTAATCTTTGCATCTGTAAAATGTGTGTCTAACCCACTCATCACTATAGTCGTCAGTGTAAACGTTACTCAAGGATGTTATGAATGACATGTCAGTCCCACTATTTTTCCTTATCCTAAATTGTGATTTTTTATTCTTACTTAGATGTTGTCAACACTGGATTCAAAAGAAACCTTTTTAAAACTTTTGTGATAGATAGTAATATAATATAAAAATTCATTAAATTCATTTTTCTATGGTATTTTTTACCTTGACGTGGTGGTCGAGCTTGTCTATCGTAATAAATCGACCGAATTTATATATTTTTTAGAGTCTGGGATATGAGCGTAATCCCATCTGACTGGTTTCGATCTCTGGTCGTGCCAGTCCACAATAAGGGACAAAGCTCTCCTTGTGATAACCACAGAGGAATCACTTTAACTAATATAGTTTCTAAAGTATTAGCCTCAATAGTCATCCAACGTTCAACTAGGACTTATGAAGTGCAAATTCGAGAAAACCAGGTTGGTCTAAGACCTAGGTGGGGATATGTAGACCAGAGATTCCCCTTTCTGTTAATTTCTGAAGCGCAGTCATACCTACCGACCCTCATCCTTAGTTGTATCTCTCGATTCCGTAGATCGACAGGTTTTATGTCAAAGTTTATCATTGAAATTCGTACCAAAGAAGTACGTAAACGTTGTTAAGGGCTTATATTCGAACACTACTGGTCCGGTCAGAACATATGACGAACTGGCTTCGAAATTGATTACTTCAAGTGGTGTGCATCGAGGTTGTCTACTTTCCCCACTTTTATTGAAATTTGTCACAGAAATTCTTTTTGGGGAAAAAAATTTTATGATTGGATTTTTCAGAAACCAATCTTCTATCAGAAGATTCTCTTGTTGACTTGGAATAGGCAGTTGATATAGTTCTGTTTAATGAATTGGTTAAAAAAATGCTGTCTTCTGACTGTCTTGTGTAACAACCATATCATATTCGGGATGCATTTCCCTCTGATGTGTGGGCGAGAATGTTAATGATTAGTTGTCTGCTCAGTCTAACAGGTGTCAGATGAGTTATATATTCCCCTATCCTTATTATTTATTTATTTATTAATTATTCATTGTTATTGGATTGTGTCGGGTTTTGTTGTGGAAATATATTTACTTTCTAGTCAGGCTAATCACGTGTTCATGATCTGAGTTGTGTTGAAGTCCTGTAGAATAGACATTGGGAGGGAATATAGTTTAGATATTCGTCTAAGGTAAATTAACGTCCCATCCGTGTAGAAAGGAAAACGGACCGTTATAACTCTCTCCTAAATCCAAAGTGTTACTTCAGGTATGTTCTAGGTCTACGCCTGATCCAATGCTATTGAGTGAAGTTGTTGAGCGCGTCCATCACTTCACTTATCTTAGAAGTCTTATCACTCAGGGGTTTAGTGTCGGACAAAATCTCGGCACGAATCCAGAAAGCTTGGTTGACTTTCGCCACTTATGATGTAAGTGAGATACCATTTTCTATTACCATTACTACTGTCATTACCTCTACTACTGTGGGACTTTCCCTTAGTCTCGTGCGAATGGATTATGTCGACTCAAAGCGATATACACAGTGATAGGTTCTACTTTGCGTATAATTAACTGAATCATTTATCAATTGATAACTTAAAATATTAAGATTTATCTATTCGCCTTCGATTTGGCGCTTTTTCCTTAACCACTCATCCTTACTTTCATAAGATGTCCTATATATATATATATATATATATATATATATATATATATATATATATATATATATATATATATATATATATTTGACTTTTTAGGGTTGGATTAAAAGGCATGCTGTATCTACCAGTAATCAGTCCAGTATATACAGACTACTACTCACTTCATCCCTTCATAGTCTAAAAGCGTTTGAACACCGAAAACGTATAGTCAGTTCATCAAAATCTTTGGAACAAAATATATCACATACTCAAAAACCTGCTTTCTTACCTATGAAACATTTGAACAATTCATCTCCAAAATCGATTTCACCTTCACGAAAGGAGTCATTAGAACACTTTTCAGCGAGGAAAATTAGCGGTTCTATTCTAAATGTTACAACTGAATCATCGCCATCCAACTTTCCTCCACCTCATCGTCCTGCAATATTGAGAAAATATGATTTACAGGTACTTCATTTTATACATAAATTCTATGTATGATTATTCCTCTTAATTGTCTTGCATAAATAAAAACGTTCTGTTACAGTAACTCATGATCACTGATATATTTCAGTGAATTATTATTGATATATTAAGAGTAGGCGATTCGATTAAAATATTGTTATATAGAAGCTTCTAAACGGTAGTCACTTTGGATCAACATCAGAATTAAATCGGTAAATATAATAATGTGTTAACTGCAAATTGACTCTCTAGGTGTACAAAATGTTAAACTTCCTAACTGCTTGAATAACTTTTGCTTTAGTTATGAGTATACTCTCCTAGTAGTCCTAATAATAGATTTGTTCCATTAATATTTATTCTTATTAAAATTGTTATGCCTTATCGTCATCTCAGAGGAGAGTGTTTTTGGCCTGTAAAGTAAAACAAGGTTGCATGATTAACTGATAATTTCCTTCAGATTTAATTAAAAGGGATAATCCATATTGTGGTTTTAGTTTAGTGAGATTTCTGTATTCGTAGGGTCCGTTTATACGACCATCTGGTTGCTAGTCATCATAAGGCAGTCATAAAAGAATCAAACGAGATATTAAGTCTTACGTGTTTATCGCTTCTAAATACTGATTCGCGTGTATTCAAAGTAATTAATCCTTTTATATTATCATGCATAGTTGTAGGTTAACGTTTCACGGTTATCATATACTGAATAAAATGGAAAGGTACAAAATGATTAAAACAAGTATTCCATACCAATAATTTCTTAATGAATGCTTATAGTTTTAGACTGAATTCATGTACAGCGGATATTTCTGAGGCCTAGAATGTATCCATTCGTATAATTGTAATTCAAATCTAGGGAGAGTTAACGGTGTCTTTTCGTTTGTTTAGATACCTGTTTGTCTTTTATGAATTATAATGATTTTCTAAAAATGCACTAATAGCAAATATGTTCTTCCGCAAATTTGTTGATTTGTTTTGTTCAAAGTGGACGCTTTTCTACTATTGAATCTTGTATCGAAATTGCTTCATTCATCCTTGAAATTGCTTACTCATCAATCACTTTCCACATCATCTCAAATTATTTAGGATAATATCAAAGAATCTGATGTATGTTGTCTTTAAAAGTGTTCCCTTTCATTAACCACTTGAATGTTTTATCTAACTACTTTCGGTTTTTTAATGAGTTTGCTTAAAATGTGATTTCATGAACATTTTGAGTGTTTTGTTAATTATGAAGCTTGTTTTGTTAATCCGTTTGTTTAGTCTGTGCTTTGTGATGTCTTCTGTGATTGATCACTGGGTTCCTGTTTGTGTATGGTTTTTGTTAACTTCTAGAAACGTTATCATTATATAGTTATAAAGAAAAGAGTTACATCTTAACGCCATTTGGTATTGTCTAATAGAAAGTCAATAACAAGAATTATAAAGTAATTATTATGTAATTCGGTAAACATGAAATAAGCTCATTTTAGCTGTCGAGGGCATAGTTCGAAAGCCGTATCACGTACTTTGGGTTAGCTTACACACTTAGAGTATAGCTCAGTGAGTCAGTTTATTTAATCCACTTAAATTTATCGGATTATAAACACCAACCAACTTTATTGATCACGCTTCTTCAGTTCATCAACTGATCCATATGCCTTCAGAAGTACTTTTTCTATCTGTGATCTAGAAATTTCGCCATTGTCGCTCAACGAGTGATTCTCATAGTTCAGACTTCATTGCAGTTCATTTCAAATTCTATGATGCTTTTTTCTGTTAAGATTTAAATCAGATCATCCTTAACAATAAATTACGTAAAATACCAAGTATAAATGTTAGAACTTCAAATAATAAAACATAAATTACACAAAACTCGCGTTATGATCCAGGAACATTTCTTTTCTCATTTGTATACGTATGTCATGTAAATTACAAGAGTATTAAACACATCGTGAAAAAGATAAATGGTATCTCATTTTTGTATTTTACCTATATTCATTTACAGAGAGTAAAACAAAGCAAAAAGGTCACTCATTTTAATGTTTTTCTTCAAATCATATGCATTTATTTCTTCAATAAGGTTACATGGTTATGTGACCTTGGAATTAAAATTAGTACTCATTCAAGTACAGTTTCTTGGGTTTTTTTCTCAACTTTATGTTTTAATTGTTTCAGATTTCATCTCATTTCATTGTCATTCTTGTCACCAACAGTGATATACATGATATTAATATTAGTTCCGTTTGTTGTATGGATTTTTCTTGCTAATTTATCTTGTTTTACGTGTTTCGCATTTCAACTTTTTTCCATATTTTTCTACAATTGATATGTAAGTGAACACTTAATGAAAACACAATAAGCGAATTCTAAATTGTGATAGCAAAATGAAAATAATTATAAAACTGTGACGATGAAGACTATCGATATTTATCGGTTTGATAACATCACTGTGCATCAGTTTTTAACGTAGAAGTGATTCATGCCGTTTTGTGACTTTCTGAATTTTCACTTGAATACAAATGTTAAATCTTCTTGGTCGATTTCATTGGATAAAGGAAATTCTTTATAGGGTTCTTTTTTTCTCATACAGTCAGTGAATATCACACCTTTTTAAAGAAAAGTATATTTCAGATTGTATAATTTTATCACCCCAAGTATGCAAACATAATGCGTGCATTGAAATCTACAACCAAGTTTTATGCTATTTACACTAATTTATAAGGTTAACTTACTTTATTGTTCTTGGCCTAACTTATTACATATATCTATGAGCAAGATACTTGTATAGCTATACTCTCAACTGTTCATTTATTTATATTAATTGTTACTGCAATTAGTATCATTGTTATTATAAGTGGATGAACTTTGTTTTCTGCATATTCAAATTTTTAATACAATAATCTATTGTGAAGTGTTTAAATTGGTAAGTAAAGTAGTTGAATTGTGCTTATCAGTAGAAAATTTCAATGACCAAATCGACTTATATTCTTTTACATATTTGGTTGTTTTGTCCACTAATAATCTATTATAAATATTTATTGATAGTAAACCTTTACAATTCATTATTACTCTCATTTACAGCACTTATTGATTAGAAAATTTGCAACTCTTTGTTTATCTTAACTGTTGCATAATATTTATGTTTCACGACCATATTATGACCATAAATATCTGTTTGCACGGCTTTCTAGATATATATTTTTTCTAATATTAACATATAAAACCCATAATTTTAATAAACTATATGTTCTTCAGTATAAAAGTCCTTTGTCTATAAAGTTACGTATGGTTAGTGGTAACGCTTATAGGTGACTTGATTTAAATGAAATTGAACTGATAAGTCATTCAAATCATCCAACTACTTCACTAATGATAGCCAGGTTAGACACTAACGAAAATTACTCTTGTTTCAAGGTAAGGAATTTCAAAGCACATTTTTCCGTAAAGATTGTAGGTTATAGTAAAGTTAAAGTTGTTGCTATCACAATCCAAGTTTACTTAAACGTCGGACGAAATAATGATATTATCTGAGCAATCAACTAAAAATGCGCCTACGCCAACAGAAACTGTTCAACTGCAAATGTTAGTAACAGCTACGAGAAATTACAAAGTATTACTAATTGTTGATAATACATTACAGATTAGCTTCATTTGCATCGTAAAATTATTAGTATTCCTATGTGTCTATTTCTTAAATTCAATGTATCATCCATCGGTCAACTGTTTTAAGGCGTAGCGTTTTGTTGTTCACCAAATTTATAGTTTTCAATATTCTTCTAATGATGTTGACTGGTATCTCTATGGTTCCTCCTTTCTTCTTTTATAGTTCTGCTTAAATGGTTAGTATGTTCAATGAATAAATCTATTTTGTTTTTTAATTGTTAGTCATAACATTCTGTAGTATCATTGTTTATTCTCATTTATGTCAAAATTTTTATTACTGTCAGGTAGCAACGAGAATGTCAAGAAAATAGTACTGAACTTTTCCATGTATTGAAATTCTAACCTCACTTATTGTCTGATCACTTGCCTAATCTAATTAAGTGAATTTTATTCAAGTCACTTAGCCAATATTCTTGATTTAAAGAACATAGCTGTTTTATTGTTAAAGTTGTTTCATTATTATTAATTTGATTGCTGATTCGTTTCACATGGTTTCCCATAATGTTGTGTGGATGTTTATTTTACTGGTTTATTTAAACTCTTAAAAAATAAAACTGTAGTTCAAAGAACAAATCTATTTTTAAACATTTTAAACTCTATTCATTTACAATATTATAAACATTTAGCTGTTATGACACAACACATGTTAGACTTACTTCTTACCTTTTTAGGTTTTGGAGGATTAATACATAATTTACTAATAGATATTATCAGCTTTCATTGACTTCAAAGATATTATTCAATTTGTTACTTACTTACTTACTTACTTTCGCCTGTTACTCCCAATGGAGCATAGGCCGCCGACCAGCTTTCTCCAACCCACTCTGTCCTGGGCCTTCTTTTCTAGTTCTTTCCAGTTCTTGTTCATTCTTCTCATGTCTGTCTCTATTTCTCGGCGTAATGTGTTCTTTGGTCTTCCTCTTCTCCTTCGACCTTCAGGATTCCATGTGAGGGCTTGTCTTGTGACACAATTGGGTGATTTCCTCAAAGTGTGCCCAATCCACTTCCAGCGCTTCTTCCTGATTTCTTCCTCCGCTGGAATCTGGTTTGTTCTCTCCCACAGTAACTTGTTGCTGATAGTGTCTGGCCATCGGATCCGAAGTATCTTGCGTAGACAGCTGTTAATAAACACTTGTATCTTCTGGATAATGCCTTTCGTAGTTCTCCACGTCTCTGCCCCATACAGAAGAACTGTCTTGACATTTGTATTGAAAATTCTAACCTTGGTGTTGGTTGACAATTGTTTTGAGCTCCAGATGTTTTTCAGCTGTAGGTATGCTGCTCTTGCTTTGCCGATCCTCGCCCTCACATCTGCATCTGATCCACCGTGTTCATCAATGATGCTGTCCAGATATGTAAAGATTTCCACATCCTCCAAAGCTTCTCCGTCAAGTGTAATTGGATTGGTGCATATTGTATTGTATCGTAGAGTCTTGCTTTTCCCTTTGTTTATATTGAGACCTACTGCTGCTGAGGCTGCTGCTACACTGGTCGTTTTCTCCTGCATTTGTTGTTGCGTTTGTGATAGAAGAGCCAGATCATCCGCGAAGTCTAAATCGTCAAGCTGCATCCTGTCTGTCCACTGTATCCCGTGCATTCCTCCAGATGTTGACGCCTTCATAATCCAGTCGATCACCAGGAGAAAGAGAAAGGGTGAGAGTAGGCAACCTTGCCTAACACCGGTCTTTACCTCGAACGAGTCGGTGAGTTGTCCTCCGTGGACGATTTGGCAGTTTAGTCCATCATAGGAGTTCCGTATGATATTTACTATCTTCTCAGGCACACCGTAGTGTCGAAGAAGCTTCCACAGTGTCGTCCTGTCCACGCTATCAAATGCCTTCTCGTAGTCGATGAAGTTGATGTACAGTGATGAATTCCATTCGATTGATTGTTCCACAATGATACGTAGAGTTGCGATTTGATCTGTGCACGATCTATCCTTACGAAATCCAGCTTGTTGATCTCGAAGTTGAGCGTCCACGGAATCCTTCATCCTGTTTAACAATACTCTGTTGAAGACTTTTCCTGGTATTGAGAGGAGAGTGATGCCCCTGTAGTTGTCGCACTTGCTCAGATCGCCTTTCTTTGGTATCTTGATGAGAAGTCCTTCTTTCCAGTCTGTTGGTACATGTTCTTCGTCCCAAATCTTACCGAAGAGGATGTGGAGTATCTTGGCAGTTGCTGTTACATTTGCTTTCAGTGCCTCTGCCGGGATGTTGTCTGGTCCCGCTGCTTTGCCACTCTTGATTTGTCTAATGGCCATGCTGATCTCTTCAATTGTTGGTGGGCCAATATCGATTGGGAGGTCTGTGGGTGCTGCTTCGATGTTGGGTGGGTTCAGTGGAGCTGGTCGATTCAAGAGTTCTTTGAAGTGTTCTACACACCTGTTTCGTTGTTCTTCAATATCGTTGATTACTTTGCCTTCCTTGTTTTTCACTGGTCTTTCTGGTTGACGGTAATTTCCAGCAAGTTTCTTTGTTGTATCATACAGTTGTCTCATGTTTCCCTCTCTTGCAGCCTTTTCCGCTGTCATCGCTAAATCTTCCACATATTTACGTTTGTCGGTTCTGATGCTCCTCTTCACTTGCTTGTTTGCCTCTGTGTATTCGGCTTGTGCCTTGGCTTTTTCTGCTCTTGTTCGGCTGATATTGATTGCTACCTTCTTGTTCCTCCTTGCTTCAATTTTATCCAGTGTACCAACAGTGATCCATTCCTTGTGATGGTGCTTCTTTTGACCCAGAACCTCCTGACATGTTGAAACGATTGCCTCCTTGATACCTTTCCAGCTGCTCTCTATGGTGGTTCCCTCTTCATTGAGTAGGTTATGAAAGGCCTCGAACCTGTTGCTGAGGGCTACGTTAAATTCGTTGAGTTTGTCAGCATCTCGAAGAAAGGCCGTATTAAACTTTTGTGATGTTGTCCGCACAGTTGTCCAGTGCTTCTTGAGTTTTAGTTTCATCTTGGCGACCAGCAAATGGTGATCGGATGCTATATCAGCTCCTCTCCTGGTTCTCACATCCTCCATCGTCCTCCTGAACTTTTTGTTGATGCAGACATGGTTGATTTGACTCTGTGTAGTGTGATCCGGTGAAATCCAAGTGGCTTTGTGTATGTTTTTGTGTGGGAATATGGTGCCACCTATGACCAGTTTATTGAAGGCACATAGGTTTGCAAATCTCTCACCGTTCTCGTTCCTTCCTCCCAGTCCATGTTGTCCCATGACGTCTTCGTATCCAGTGTTGTCCTTTCCAACCTTGGCATTGAAATCTCCCATTAGAATGGTCAGGTCCTTGGTTGGGCACTTCTGGAAGATTGACTGCAGCCTATCGTAGAATTGGTTTTTAGCGTCTTCATCGTAGTCGTTGGTCGGCGCATAGCATTGGATGATGTTCATTGTAATGCCCTCTCTCTTTGTTTTGAAGGAGGCTTTGATGATCCTTGGTCCATGAGATTTCCATCCTATAAGTGCATTTTGTGCTTTTCTAGACAGCATCAGTGCCACTCCTTGTGTATGTGGGGCATTTTCTTCTTCATGACCGGAGTATAACAGAAGTTCTCCTGAAGACAGTCGTTGTTGTCCAACCTGCGTCCAATGTGTTTCACTGATTCCAAGCACTTCCAGGTTGTATTTCCTCATTTCCGCAGAAATTTGGAAGACTCTGCCGGTCTCCCACATTGTCCGGACATTCCATGTACCTATAAAAATTGTCGCTCTGGTTGTAAGAAGGTGCATCGGCCTCATGACTTCCGAAGGAACTCGGCTTTCATCATGAGACGTCATAATTATTCCTTCTACTCCCAGGGCAGAGTTTGAATGGTTTGAATGATTTTTTCTGGTTAGCGTTTTTTTAGCGAGTTGATTTTCTACGGGATGGGGTCGCTAACGCCATGCTCAACCCTCCTCCTTTACCCGGGCTTGGGACCGGCAGTAGCCCCTGGAGGAGCTACAGGCGGAGTTATTCAATTTGTAGTACTGTTTTTATCTGATTCGTCTGCCCTTATTTAATAGTATCACTTCAGTCTCTTAGTGATATACATCAAATTTGTTTATTCGGCTTCATAATAACATATTGCCTATTCATACTTTCATTTTTTACGAGGTTTTACACAAAATAATATACTGCGGCGTTATATTTGTCTATTGTTTCTTTCAACGAACAGTGGAGCAATGGTTAATCATTCAGTTGTTCGACTTATGAACTACAAAGTAACTTCATTCTCCATTTACTGTACACGATAGGTCAGCTTTAGTTGTGCTATTAAGTTTAAAAATCTCACATGTATTCACATACTTTTGTTTCAAACTTATCACATAATATCTAGGATTATAAAGTATCTAAAATACATAATCAAACTCCTTCCGTATATATATTAGATATTTCTCTATTGTTTTATCCGATGCACATTAAAACATATTATTACTGTAACTTGTTTCAACTAATTCAAACATATATATTTCTTTTTCTATTTTTTTACCAATACCATTTCAAGCCTTACATTCATCCTGCTGTTCACGCTTTTGAGAAATTATTCAATGTAGTTAATCGTCGCAATGATACAGCATACATTGTTTTTTTGAACCGGGATCATTTCCTCCTGCCTTCAGTTGATCCATTACCTGCAAATATGAAACAGAAAATAACTTTTCTACTGCCAGCTCATTCTGTGATCAACGGTAAGTTAATATAATGTTCTCTATTGATTGAAATAAATTTTTAGCATACTTTTCAGCCTCGTACATTGTTTGTTAACCATCTTGACCTTAAAAATTATGAAAGTCTAACTGTAGTATCATTAATATAATCTTATTTTATGGTTAATACAATAAATAATCCTTATGTGCAAAAATATTATCCACTTTCTAATCATTTCATGAAAGTTTAAATAAGTTATATTATTTGGTATCATGCCTGTTATGAGGCATAAAAGTATTTGGTTCTATTTTACTTAATATAATTTCACGCTGCTGATGAGTTCTATATATATATTCCTCACATTTCATCTTTTATTATTATTAAACAATATTGTTTGGTTAATGATTTTCTTCATATCTTACTCCTTATATTACTATTGCATAATGTTATACTTAAATTATTAGCACTTACGCATAGTTTTATTATTTCGTTTATTTCGTTTATCCATATTGTCAATCAGTATATAGATCAGTCTACCACCTGTATATTTCATGGACAAAGGGTTTAGTTTTTTGTTTTTTACTACCACTTTTAAACTAATTACATAATTTTAGCATCAATAATTTAACCTTTTCCATTCGTGTTCTGTATGGACTTAGCTTTTTCCACCGTCGTTGCTAGTTCTTCCATGTATTTCCGTTTGTCAGCTCTAATGCTCCTCTTAACTTGATTGTTTGCTTCAGTGTATTCTACTTTTGCCTTGACTTATTCTGTCTTCTCATCCTTTCGTAAATGTTGTTCGGGGTTTCCATAGCGATCCATCCCTTATGATGATGCTTGTTACGGCCCGACACCTCCTGATACGTTCAAGCTAATGTTCCTTTGATCTCTTTCCAGTTGTCCTCCATAGTAGTTCCTTCTTCTTTGAGAAGATCTTGTAAGGCTTGGAACCTATTGTTGTGTGCTATCTTGAATTGGTTTAGTACGTTAGCATCTCGAAAGAAGACTGTATTGAACCTATGTAATTCTGTTTGTCCAGTTGTCCAGTGCTTCTTTAGCTTCAATGATCCAGTGAGACCCATGTACGCGTTTTTGTGGGAATATAGTTTCACCTATAACTAATTTGTTGTATACACATATGAAGACAATTAGTATAGCAGCAGCCTCTGCATCAGTAGGCCTCAGTATACACAAAGGAAAAAGCAAGATGCTCAAATGCGACACAGAGAATACCAAGCCAATCATACTTGATGGAGAAACTCTGGAAGATGTAGAATTTTTCACTCAATATCAGTTGGCAGGATACCATCAACATCAACCTTCTGTGGGAGAGGACGAATCAACTTCCAGCTGAAGAGGAAATTAGGAAAAGACGTTGGAAGTAGATATAACATTCATTAAGAAAATCATGAAACTGCATCACGAGGCAAACCCTAACTTGGAATCCTGAAGGGATTAGGATTTAAAGTTAGACTTTGAAGGTTTCATTACTAATGGACACCAGCTATTATGCCAAAATGCTATTTAGCCATATGGATGAATGAATTTTGTGTCAAAATCTATGATTTGCTATCTTAATTCTGGTTATTATTCCATAAATTGAAGTCCATAAAAATAGTGCTGTACTTGGACTGTTGAAAATGATTTTTCAAACTGTTTTATACTTGATACCTGTTTACCACTTCAACCAATAATATTTGTAGGAGAAAAAGACAAAACGAAGAAAGAAATAATTCTTGTCAATAAGTTTTTCGGCATTTGTAGCTCTACGTTTTTATTTATTTAGTCGTTTGTAATAGTGGTGAATTTGTCACCAGTATTTTAAAAATTATAATAATTAACGTAAGTAATAAATAATTAGTGGCAGTAAGAAGAACAACGACCGACATAGCACAGCAATTACCTTGATCCATCAAATAAAATGTTTAATAAAAAGATTATCCAAAGTAATGATGACATTTGTTTTTGAAAAGAATTAGACTCTGTCAAGTAAATAATCTCACATTCATTTTTCTCATTTCTTTGCTCTTTCTTAAAGATTACTAATATTGATGGCTCTGGTTTTTAAGTAATGTTTAACTAAATAATTAAATTTTTTGAGCTTTCTTATTCATTTTATACCAATCTAGTTACTCTCAATTATAAAATAATATCTTCTCATTCATTAGCATTGTCATCCATACAGTTTCATCTTTGAATCAATTTCTTAACTATAGAAATATTTACATCAATAATGTTGTTGTGACTTCCGCCCGTTAAGTATCACGTGATTTATTCGCTAATCAGATGACGACTTAGACAATCTTAACACTGTGCCACAACAATGACGTATAGACAGGTATGAGCACCCTAGCGTCCTTATTGGTCCTTTTTCCTGCCTAGTTCTGCTTATAAAGTCCAGAATACTAATATCAGTTTCTACTATATGAATCGTTTATTTTAAACATACCTGGTTTATATACAAGCCAAACAGACCATATCACACTATAAAACAGGAAATAACATTTGTACAAGCCAAAAGTGACTGTGATTGTGTGTGACTGTAATTAATAAACTGGTTATAACTTAAAAATAATAAATCGCATCATAATAGTCTATAGGTCTATATATATATATATATATATATATATATATATATATATATATATATATATAACAATTCTCATTAGCTATCTCTTCAAAAAGATCTCAGAATAAATGGAGTTTTGCAGTTGCGTTCTAATTTATTGATACATATAGAAATATTAGTTGTTTCTGAACTCTAAAGAATGGAGCGCGTACATCATGAATGAAAAATAACAAAAGTAAAGGTAATAATTTTGAATATATGTAATATCAATAGCATGAAAGAATACTTTTAACATTGGCTTTAATCACCAGCTTTCGAGTTCCGAACAAAATTACAAAAGGTGCCTGTTAACATAAAGTCAAGAAACTTTTTTGTCTATGCAGCCACGAAATAAAATATAAATTGGGTACAAAAGTTTACAGTGAATGGTAACCGTTAAGAATTATTTATGTATTAAGATTATACGAATATCTTTATTGTCTGATTATTAAGTAACTATACTTTATGTGTATTCATATTTCTTTTATTAAAAGCGTTCTCGAGTTATTCTCAATCTATTAGTCAAAGTTTCTGACGATCACAGCCACTTTTGGCTTGATGTTATACAAATGTTATTTCCTGTTTTTTAGTGTGATGTGGTCTGATTGTGCTTATGTATAAATCAAATATGTTTGAAATGTATGATTTGTATCGCGGAAGCTGAGATTGGCATTCTGGACTTAACAAGCAGGTTTAGGCAGGAAAAAGGACCCATCGGAACTTTAATCTGCTCGTACTGGTGTATGCATCATTAGTTTGGTCGTATAAGTCAACGTATCTAAATTGACAGTCGTATTTCGCGATAATCATATAGCTAAGGACATAACAGAATTGACCTGTAAAGTGTAAAATTGCTTATTTTCTGTTGACTTTAAATCACGCTTAACACATTTCTACCTTGTTGAAAAAATATCATAAACCTATTCGAATCAAAATATGATCGCTTATTAAGTATGTATGAACAACTGGCCAACTTTCTTTTTGGAGATAGTCAAGTCAGAGCTACACGTAAAATGAAAAACAGTAACAATCAACCGGTGTAACTAATAAAAATCATTTCCTGAATTGTAACAGATTTATTTTCTTACCTACTTATATATATATATATGTTAGGTGTAGGAAGAATTTGAAAGTGACCAACTTGGTCTCATGTGCTGTTAATTATATGAGGGCTAATATCACTTCCCGGCTGCCCATATCGTGGAAGGTTATTTCTTGAGGGACCTGAAAAAGAAGTTGGATTAGTGTTGGTCTTAATGACCTGAGAGCGTGACCGCAGTGCCCAAGGGACAACTGCTTGAGGCGGGTCACGCACGGCCTTTTTGTGGGGATTTTTGACGTGTTAGCTCCGTTCTTCAAAGGACCTTACCGCCGTAGACGGAAATCCGTGGGATAATGCGAGGAGTGCATTTTTAGGGTCGACCTTTTCTAACCCCACCCCTCCTCGTAGGAAGGCAGCATCGCTGTCATGCTGGTTGTCTGAAGGAAACACCTTACTGCTGTCACACCTCTGTACAGTCGGCAGTACGACTTCGCCTTCGGATCTTGGGATTGCTGCTTTTTGTCTTACCTCTCTTCAACGGACCTGTCTGGCATGGTGGGACCTTGAGGAACGATTGTTCCAGCCAGCATAGCTCGGTTGATTCATCACGATAGGCAAGCCCGACCACCACGTCAAGGCAGCAGCAACGTGTTACGTATGCCCAACCACCGACTGCCCCGACGTGCGATATTTCACGGTGTAGAAGTAGGTTGGAAGAAATGTAGGGGGCGGCCAGATCGAAACGTTTCACAAATCCATGAAGTCACTGACAAGTGGACTGAGCCATGTTGGTAGGTGAATAACATGGCTCAAAATCGTTTGCAATGGCGAAGGTGCATCCACTTTTTGTGTTCTACCAAATTCTAATTCTCTGAATTCCTCATGTCCCTATCCTCTTCAAATTTATTTCACTGTATTATACTCCTTTAATAACATCTTCATACCCTAATTTTTCACATAATGCTTATACTCTTACTATTTCTACCACTGTGGGATTTGAATCGACAACTTCATCTCTGTGTTAAATTCGTATGGCAGCTTGAACTAATGTACGTACGTACGAAGTTCTACGCTGTGACTGATATATATATATATATATATATATATATATATATATATATATATATATATATATATAATATTTCTTGTTGGCTGTTATATTATTGGTGTTCATCCTGTTTTTCTGTGCTGTTTTATGTAGTGGATATTAGTCTTGATATAGTTTCATGCAAAGTTATACTTTTTCATTTGTGCCGGTACAGATTTGAACAATTAAAGTGCAGGTCAATATATATGTTTACTATTTCTATGCTATACTTGCTAATACATCTGGTGTTACGCAAACTCTTTTCATATTATTTTAGGGTTTGTGTTTTTTTAAGCACAAAATGTTTTTACGTATGTATTGATCATGATTATGACCGACTTCTCACTTTTCCATCATAATTTATGAGTAACGCATTGATTAGTGGCCAAAATAAGTTTATACAAATAAAAGTTAAGGCGTTACCTTATCTTTTATTGTTTACTTAGTAGATTTCTTTGTAAGGGTTTCTGTTAATCTATTTTTCTACAGTATTTTCAGTTTGTATATTGTTTCATTAAATACCTATTGTATTCAGATAGTAGTCGTTTTTTCATGAAATTCTGTTGTGCTCAACAACAATTATGTAAATAGAAAAGTTCACAGGCTTTGTTTTATTCTTTTAATAATCCTATAATTTAGTTTCCTGTAGAAATAACTAATACATTTTTACTGAGTTCTCGTTACTTTTCTGCCATTCAAATAAGTTTAAAATAACTAAACTTCCACATATGAAATTATTCATTTTAACAGCCGTATTGAACATATTTTTTAAGAAATTTCATGTGGATTATTGAATGTAGGGTTAATATCTTCTACCATGTCCACTTGGTGTCCGTAGTTGTCAACCCCTTGAAAGTTTACACCCTAATCTATGCATTTGTTAATGTTCATACACATTGATATGTAGCGAGTAATTACGATGCTTTTACAAAGCTGTTGATATGCTTTTCGTTTCTAACATAACATATCATAAATTAGGTAACTGTTGGAATCTGAAGTTCTCAAAACATTGTCCAATTCTCACTCGCCTTTTGTATCTAAAATATCTCCACTTCTCATTTATTTATTCCTCAAAATGTTAATATAAATACAAATTCATAAAATGTCTTCATTTTCCTTTTCTTCACATTTATATATCATATTCTCCTTAAATTCGTACTATAAATTATAAAAGAGCAATTCATTCAGCAAACAACTCTCGTTTCAATGAATTCATTTCCCTAAGCTGTACAATCCCAAATATATACATTTCTTTCTGTGATAATCAGTAATATGCTTGTCAGAAACCATAATTTAGCAAGCATAGAAAAAAAGGTTACTAGGAAATTGAAAAATGTTGTTGTTAGGATCATAAACACTCAATAAGAACGTTATAAAAGTGAAATGAAGCGTAATAGTTCAGTAGGGGGATTGTATGACATGATAAAATAAAATATTGAAATGAAATATCATCAGGGAGGTAATAGTTTTGGAAAATTGGAGGTTGTGACATTGGCAGAAGAGGTTGGACAGGTTTCTTTTGTGTGCACAGTTATGGCTTATCTAGATACATAGTAAAGACTCCACCAACTTTACGAATACGGAATTTCACTGTTTTTGATGGGTTTCTGTTTCGCTTATCAGTGACTTTCAGCCCTTAATCTGTTTGAATTGAACGATTCGTGTTCTCAAGATGTTCAATTATGGGGTTTCTTACATATCCAACTTCTTGGAGGATTCATGAACATGGTTATAAAAACGTAAGAATTGATTCACTGAGCTGAAACGATAAGCGCTTGCTGAATGATACTTTTATTTCTATGAACTATAAAAACTCATGTGAAATAAATTTGTTCAAAACTGAAAGCTTCTCAGTTTCATAGTTGCACATAAGACACAGTTGACCAGTGATTTAAAAAAGGTTTGTTATTTATCATTACATATTAAATATCAAGGCAGATCTGCTTGATGTGACCAGTATTTAAATAGTTAGTGTTGGCAACAGTTTCTTTAACTATCAGACATATGATCATATCTTTTTTTTAACCTCTATAGGATCGTCTATTGATGGTGAAGATAATTATTATGGTAGTTCAAATTCCATTCTGACTATGCTGCAATTAGATTGTGAAATGATGAATGCTACACTATTACAATCACCTGTATATAATTTTCATGAAAAGCACACACCTAATAACCATTAATTACTAAGGTAACATCTTTTTGTGCTTTCATTTATTAAAATAATAATCATTATTTGTATATTTTGTTTTCCTTCAGTGTTTTCATTATGAACCTTTTAATGTGTTTATTGTGAAGAATTTTGTTTCTTATTTCATCGAATAAACAAGATTGTTTTGTGTTTTTCGTTCTACCATAGCGTTACTTTTCAATTACATTACATGTCCATTTATTTATGATCAGTTATATTGTTCTGTTTTATTTCTTGTATTATCATTTTTACTTATAGTAATTGTTTCATTACTCCTTATCATAATCAATCATCTGTGTTTTGTTTTTTATGTTTATTTATAATAAAAACTATTTTTCGTCAAAAAACAAACACTAATAATAGTCATTCAGTTCGTTCTCAGTTTATTACCACTGTCTAGCATTGTTTTATATTGTTTAACTAATGTATGTTAGTTAATTGAATGCAATAAGACATTGGAAAGAAAGTTTGCTGATATTAGTTATTTTTTAAGTTAACTATTTATGTATAATGTTTGTAATATGTAGTAGTATGTAAACACTAAACTGTTGTGTCATTTTGAATGATAAATTATTATTTCTTATCGTATCTGATCCACTAATGGCGTGTGATTCCTTTTTGCGATGCTTTCAATTTATTCTTTAAAAAGAACATACTAAGTTACACTGTTCTGTACTCATGGGGAATTGACTGAAAGTCAAGGACACAGTAATCAGTTACAGGTTTTCAAAACATTAGATTTAATCAGAAAGGGAAATTCCTTCAATGCAGATATATAAAGGACAAAATTCATAGAAATTTGAGTATAGTATGAATTTCAACCAGGAATTCTGCAAATGCCGACAGCTCAGACGAGCAATCTGACTAAATTTGGTCACTACAAACGTTTTCCCAATCTTTTATATCAACCAGCAATATACATAGTAGGCAGACGTAGCATTTATAACCTCGTAAATGGATTTAGTCTTTTTACTGTGCTGTAGTTTAGCATTAATTATTGATTCTCCTACATGTGTGGGTATCCCCATGTTCGAAATAGTGAAAATAATGTGCATTTGGTCTACAAGTCGAGGCTTGAAACCAGTCTGCTTTTTCGGGTTCGATTGTTCTGAGTTCCAACCAAGGGTCGAATGTTTATGGATTTTATATTTTAGACGCTATACTAGTCATAACTAATTATTTTCTGGATAACACGAAAGGATTTTTTCTTTTTCTACTAAACTGAGTGTTATAAACGTAAGGAGAGAGAGGATACTGGTTATAACTTTAGGGGTTTATGGTTATAACAGTCCTTTCACTTTCTACACGTATGTGGGACATTAATTTACCTAGACGAATATCTACACTAGATTCTCACCCAGTGTCTATTCTACAGGAATTCAACAGAACTCAGATCAAGAACACGAGATTAGCCTGACTACAACGTCAATATATTTCCACACCAAAATCCGACACAAAGAACAGTCAATCAATGTGTCCATCAACAAGGAACAGTTCCTACATAATAAGGATAGGGGAATATATATAGCACACATAACGCCTGTCATCCTATCTAATGTCTGACTCATCAAGACAACCAATCATTGTTATTCTCGCCCACACATCACCCTCACGAAGTCCGATCGTATGATTTCACTTTAGGGTCTATTTGAAAAAATTTCATTTGTTTCCGTTTCCTGAATGACCTTCGTTTAACTTCTGATTTCAGATCATTTTTTCTCATTTCAACTTGTGGTGGTGGTGGAATATCAAATGTATCACATAATACTTCCATTGGTAATGGTTTGAGTTTAGATGACTCATAAACACATTTTCTATCTCGCAGTTGCTTTACATGTCTAATAATTAGTGTATTTTCGATCATCACTTTATACAATACTGTACCACGTCGTTTTTTTATAAACCCAAATATCCATTTTGGCTTGCCAGGCCGGAAATCCCGTGCATAGAAGAGTCACCTACTTTGAATTCTCGAATTTTCGGGCAATTCCCTTTCTTATTTTTTTGTAGTCCACTGATTCTGTCTTTCGGGATCAAAACATCAAAAGATGTTCTAATCGGTCGGCCAAACATTATTTCGGCTGGTGATTTCCCGTCTTGACAGCTTGGACTCGGTGTAACTCCATAAGAAATGAGAAATTGTTGCAGAGCCTCTTCTACGTTGTCTTCTCTTCCCATCTTTAAGAAAGCTCGTTTAAGAATATCAACAAATTTCTCTGCCTGCCCGTTTGACTGAGGGTGGTACGGTGGAGTTCTAATGTCTTCGATTCCATTTTGTTTACAGAACTCCGCAAACTCTAACGACGTGAACTGCGTTCCGTTATCTGAAACCAAAACATTAGGTGTACCAAACCTACCAAATAATTGTCTCAGATGTAGCAGTGTTTCAGACGTAGATGGTCTTCGTACCACATAAATTTCAGGCCATTTTGAGTATGAATCAACAACCACCGAAAAATAATGTCCACTTATCGGTCCAGCATAATCAACGTGTGATCGGACCCAAGGTTTTGTCGTTTCTGGCCATGGCTGAGATTCTACTTTCGTTGGATCTTTTGCAACTTCGGCACATCGCCGACGTCTCACTACGTATTCTCCCACAGCCTTATCCATGAATGGCTAATAGACATAACTACGCATAACTGCTTTCATTCTGTTCCTTCCCGGATGACCAATGTGAAACTGTTTAAGCACAAAAAACTGAAGAGATTTGGGGATGACAACACGATCGCCATACATCAAACAATTATCATAAATCGATATAGACTCACGTCTCAGGAAAAATTGGTGAAACTCTTGACCAGCTTTGTCCTGTTTCCAACCCTTTAAAACAGCTTCTTTTATTCTTTTAAATAGAGGATCATTAGCTGTGGCTTCTGTAACTGCTTCCGCCGTTACTGGTAGAATTCTGATAGCATCACAGAACACGTTTTATTTCCCGTTCAAGTGATATAGAAGCAACCACTACATCTTCCTCTAACTTGCGGTTATGTGCTATTACTTTTGAAGTCTGTATCTTATTTCCTTTACGAAACGTATGCTGATGGTCGGAAACCTTTGGTTTACTTTTACAACGTACTTGAGCATGACCATATTTACTTACGTACGCCTGTTACTCCCAATGGAGCATAGGCCGCCGACCAGCTTTCTCCAACCCACTCTGTCCTGGGCCTTCTTTTCTAGTTCTTGTTCATTCTTCTCATGTCTGTCTCTATTTCTCGGCATGACCATATTTACGACATTGAAAACATACTCGTTTTTTAAAGTAGCAAACATTGGTAGAATAACACTTACCACATCGCCAACATGACGTTTTAGGTTTCACTTGGTTTGGGATTTGCTAGGAGTTCGAATCTTTATTTCCATTAAAAGGTTTACGTAAAGCATTAATTCCCACGTGTTCGCTGTTCCTTTCTACGAGATTCGTGTCATGCTTCAAATTAACCATTCTTTGACAATCTTCGGATACTGATTGTAGACTGATATTAGGATCTTGTTCGATTCTCGTTAGAATCCGTGTTCTAATATCTGCATCTACTGGAGATTGTAATCCACATACAAAAAAATAAGGCATTTAAATTGATCTGAGGACATTTATTGTAAACGGAACCGCTCACATTCCCGGTTCACGATACTTGCATACGTAACATAATCGCCCTGTACTTTTAACAAGTTGAAGACACTGGTATCTAGTGTGAAAAATTTTTGATCGTTCACCAAATATATGAGTCAGGCATTCAACTGTTTCTTTGAACGTTATGTCGGTTGGCTTTTTTGGGAGGATAAAATTACAGAACTTTTCATGTTCGGACACTCCAAGCTTTCTTAATAATAATCTCAATGTTGAACTTTCGTCCCACTCTTTACATTCATTGTTAAACAAATCCTCATGGCGTCTAAACCACGCCTCAAAAGTAATTCCATTTTCTGGATGAAATATAAATTCAGTTATTGAATTTGCAATAGTATCCGGAGTCATAGTGGAATTAGACACATCGGTTCTTGAGGATATCGACATGTTTTTGACTAATAATTCGATAAGAGAATTTTGCTGTTGCAACAAGGTTTTCAGATCATCCATTTTCTTGTTACAAAATTCACTTTAACTGAATATGTAAGCGTAGATCCGTTTTAATCACCGTCGCCAATTGTTATAAACGTAGAACAGAGGATACTGATTATAACGCTTGGCGGTTTCTTGTTATATTAGTCCTTTCACTTTCTACACGTATGTGGGACGTTAATTTACCTAGACGAATATCTACATTAGATTCCCACCCAGTGTCTATTCTACAGGAATTCAACAGAACTCAGATCAATAACACGAGATTAGCCTGTCTACAACGTCAATATATTTCCACACCAAAATCCGACACAAAGAACAGTCAATCAATGTGTCCATCAACAAGGAACAGTTCCTACATAATAAGGATAGGGGAATATATATAGCACACATAACACCTGTCATCCTATCTAATGTCTGACTCATCAAGACAACCAATCATTGTCATTCTCGCCCACACATCACTGAGGATATCAGTCAGCTTCCAATTAGTATGTCAATTTAACTGCTGAAACTAGGTTGCCATATATTTGAACTTCTAGAATTAACCTGTCAGTCCTTGTAGGTATCTTTCGCTACAAACTAGATATGGCTTTTTAAACAGCAAAGAGCTTCTAGTCCTCTGTTAATTTCATTTAAGTTCATGCTTATGGTTCTCAAGTCAAATAGTTGCTTTTATTATATGTGAATTGATTATAAACTGAATCTGGTAATCAAAAGTATATCCAATATCCGTATAATAACTTTATTTTCTACCTTTTTAATGAGACTAACAGCTCATATAAAAAACCAACATCTAAACTTTTATTGATGAAATTGTTTGTGGTCACTAGAGATAAAAGAGGGTTATAATCTTCACGTTCACAGATATCTACAAACACTAGTAACAGAAGAGACAACTGGTATTATTAGTGATTAATGATACAGATTCATATCAAAGTTCTTAAGACTGTACTGATAGCATCCAGCTTTCCTTTAGCAATAAGTTAAGCTTTTCAGCAAATTGTGCGTTTATACGGGTCGATTCTCTTTTATAAATTCGTCACAAATTTAAAAAGAATATATTTATTGTTCAATACCAGACAAGTATTTGATGTTGATAACTTCATAATGTCTTATTCGAGTCCCAAATTTACCGAAAAACTTGGAAAAAAGTTATACTTGATATTTAGGTTTCCTCCAAAAATATGATAAGTTATAACCCTTCGTAAACAAATTTAGGCCTTACAAAGCATCCCACAGATTTTTTCTGACAAGCTAAGAACATGGTTTTTGAGATCGTCCTATGATGGAGTTAGAGAGCTATCTCTAACAGATACTTAGAAACGGTAGATAAATGTATTCGAGATGATGTGCTGCTATAAACCAGATAATATTGTTAATGAACCACACAAAAAATAATATATCAATCCTATTTTTTAGAAGACTAGTCAAGTGGCAAAGAGGATTAGCCGATATTAAGTAGGTTAATTTTCACGCGAACAAGATCGTATCATACGTCAAGTCAGAAATCATGAAAATTTCGTTATAAAATGGGTGAATTCGAAGGACAGAAATGCAAGTATATATGTCCTTTTTAGAACATAACTCAAACGATAAAGAAGTCGTCATAGCCACTTGCGCGATCAGTGGTCAGGCTTTAAATGTTTGGATGACACAAATGGAATATGTGAACATAGATTATTAACTTCAACTGTAAATGTTCTCTTCAATCTCCCTATATTTTTTATAAGTCTATGATGTGTTAGCGTGATATAGATTGGATTGAAACATATTCTGTGCAGGATTGTTGAAACATGCTGACTAGCTATTGCTTAGCTAGTCAGCGCTAGCGGATACTCAAAGAAGACTCTACAATAATCTTGTGTAAAAATTGTAAAATATACTAACGTTCCTGTCTAACCGTGTTCTGATATTAAGCAGTCAAAGTGGATGGGTCGTTATAAAGGCGTCATAGCATTGTTCTAGGGCTATAACCATAACTCTTCATAAATTTAAACTTTGTTTAAGTTCTGCTGGAAAAACGACTGTTTACCTATAAACAGTCCATTTCCCAGGTATCTTAATATATATTAAAGCATACATTACCTGAAGCTCATCAACCGTCAGTAGTATAAAATTAGAAGGAAACAGCTGTTCAATGCACCCTAGTATTCAGTGGTCTTCCAGCTTAACACAGTTCTTAAGGTAAATCAAAACAAAAAATCAAAAATACTTCTTCAATAGAAGCCATGAACTAAAAAAATGTTTTTTCAGATATATTGTCAAATATTTATAAAGTTAAAACATGATAAGATTGATTGCGGAGTATAAATTCCACCCAGCGAATCGTTGAATCCCAAGCATATTAGCTGATTTGTATCTATATAATTTCATTATTAGTTTATATATATATATATATATATATATATATATATATATATATCCCTTGCTTTAGTTTGAGTGGATGGTTTTAAGCATTAAACATAGGGCTATACTGAACTGACCTTTTTCTCACATAAAGAAATTAATCATACACTAACTGGATTCACAAATTCATTCGAAAATGAATGTCTGGAAGTACCCAGGACAGAGTTGGATGGAGAATGCTGGCGTGCGGCCTATGCTCCTCCACGAGGGGTAACAGGCGTAAGTAAGTCTGGAATTAGAAATACTTTTCGAAGTGATCTATAGAAACAAATGATGGTACTGGGTCACATTTATATACTCGTTTAAGAACGGGAGATTTAGCTTCGTTTTCAGGTCATAATTACATACCTCAATTAGTTAAATCTCAGGTAAATTAGTTTCCAACAAATATTTTAAGGGAAATTAAAATAACGTCCACCTTAAACATGCGTCACAGATATTTCAGCTAGTAAGATACTTTCAAAACAAGCGTCACCAAGTAATTAAAAGTAGGATCTGTGAAATACTTACAAGTATCTAGTTAGTTAAAATGTGTCACACATAGAAATGAAACACTTCCTTCCTAACTTATTCCAGTATTTAACTCAACTAATGAACGATTAGTAAATAGGAAAAGCTAAGTACATTTAAATTTTAGGATAGATAATGGGATTCTAAGTTTTTATGAGATCTATATAAACAGACCATCAACCTTCGGGTCCGGATAAAACCATATAAATAACCGTAGAAATCTCATAATCTTTCACATTTTAGATATTTAAAGATGATTATCGCCACTTTCTAATAACATGTTTAGAAGTTCATGTTGTATTTAATTTAACCAAGTAGTCATATGGTATTATTATTTTCATTATACCTTTGGACCGAAATCAAATATTGTTTAGTACGGGCGGGCTACTGAGATATTTTATCTTTCACGTAAGATTCATTACTTTGAGGGATATTGCGTACACGATGAAAGACTCAAACAAGAACACCACAATATGGTCTAAAATCAATCAAAAGGCAATCTGACACGCTTTTATTTAGGCTGAAAACCCAACTATTTTAGTCTGATTCATTTCGCCATCGTCCTATAGAGATGTTGAATACAAAGCACAGGATACTAAGAGATAAATTCTTTGTAATTATCGTAATATTGCTTGTATTCTGTTTATAAACGTAGATGGTGACCAACTGTTCACAGCTAAGATCTGCAGATGATTCTGATTCTCTCGTTTACAACCAAGCTACTTTCATTCTTATGATTGGATTACGGTCGTTAGAAAATCGTATGATTGTAAGCTAAAAAAACTAAATTCCTAAGTAAGATTTTTTCAGTTTTCCCAACTTATAATTGAATCGCATAATTAAAATTGACTGAAAATTCAGTTTATGACTGGATTATGATTAATTGAAACGGAGCTGAACTAGTTCTCCGATGATAGATTTTTTTAATCATCAAAATCTTTGGACTGTCTATGAATCGACATAACTGCCTACTAAAAATTACTTCTATAATACATGTTCTTATTGTTGTATATCACATCAAGATATCGTTAAATACATTTTACTCCAGCTAAGTCTAATTTTGATGTTTGTCTTTCTAAGATGCAAGTACAATAAAACAGCATGCAGCAAGTAATCACAAAGAATCTCGTGAACTCAGGTGGGCTTAACTGACTCTCATTCTGCAAGTTACTAATTATTTATACTTTTTTAATTGGAGAATTTTCAAGTTACACGTTTTACATCTATAGTAATTAATAAGATCTAGTTTTACAAATAAAAATCAATGCCACTGCTAAATACCACAATGCAATTATAAAATCTTTTATAATTTACAAATTTGACCACTCTATTAACATGGTGAACCGTGATTTCAAGTTGCACTCACTCAACATTTAATCTAACGGCTTTACGGATTAAATAGATTTTTTGAACTACATAAATTTTTAAGAATTTGGTGAAAAAAAGTTCTATTTCATCAAGTTAGTGGATTAATTCAATATTTGAAGGTTAAACAGGCATGTCATTACTGCCCTGAAAGCCTACTAGAACAATGGGAAACACAAGATAATAAAAATGTTGAACTAACAAAGCAAACTGACGAATAGGATCAACGATAATAAACAGTGAAGAAATATCACCTTTCGTATAAAGTAACATACAATACGAATTAGAACTAAACCAATATTATAAAATAATGTGTAGAAGGACAGAAACTCCCATTCCTATTTAAAACTTCTATCGTGCAATAATACCAGTTGATACACACACGATTGGTCCAATGATACAAAAACTTTTTAAAAAAACAATAAACTTATTTAGAATCAAATTACAGTTACTTTTTTCGAAGAAAAAAACAAATCAAAGCGATAAATAAATCATAATGAAATAATCAAAGGAAAATATCATGCCTGTCACTTACATAAGAATAAAGTAAATAGTTTTTTCTTCGAAAAGTAAGAAAGTACCAAGTGAAAATATACATACTTTCATAATTAACTTTTTTTTTAAAAAACATTGCTCAAACCACCTAATAATTACATAGGGAAACAAACAGTTGAGACCAATTAGTTGGGAGTTGCTCCAATTGTATACAATATTGTCTCCCGTACACACATGTTTGTGTATTAATATAAATTGATTACACGTACATCACAAAATAATTTGATTTCTGGCACTTTGTGATAATTCTTTGTGTGGTAGAACTATACAGTTCAGGACAATAACTTCAGGAGGAATTTCCACATTGGAACCTAAGACAAAAGCAAATTAGGGGAAAAAGCTATAAATTGCAATTTAAAACAAGACATAGATGATATGAACAGTGATCCGAATCTATAAGATAGACAATGAAAATAAATAAATAAAGAGGAGTAATAAGTACTTTTATGTTAAGCATCAAAAGCTATCACAGTCGTTTTATGTTAAAACAGTTCAGAAATTCACAAAACCAATCCTACTCCAACTGATTGTCAGTTCTCGCAACTTTATGAAATATTATGAACTGAAATGTTTATTTAGGGCTTGAATACAGCTTTAATTAGAATGTATTCACAAATATTGAAATGTAAATTTTAAAGGAATAAATAACCCTACATTATTAAAGATGAATTGTATTATGTTTCGAAATGATTATCTCTGTTAATAGGTACCTTACAAATTGAATCATCTGACCTCAAATGTTTTGGTACAGCCAAAGGTGTAGAGAGTTAGCTCTTACTCTTAAATGCTCTCATAAAACCCCGTGAGCATAGGGTTTATCTTCACGTGACGGATAGGTGTTTGGTGAAAAATAATAGAGAAGAAAGTGAACGTCCGGCCTCAAACCGAATGGTGGATATAAAGCGTTCGCCTTAAGGAGCCGGAAAACCATTATTTTAAACTAATATAGATGGCCAACAAGAAACCGGGGGAACGAAGGCTATTTCAACCAAAATCAGTCTCTGGCCGCCATCGGATAGCACGCACTGTGACCGCCTAGGAAAACTAATTTCTCCGCCTTAGGCTCCCAGGTAGTATTCTACCCCAATCACGAATATGATAATCGATAATTACAGAAAATTGATCGATTTGCTATCCTTTATTAATAGATAAATCGATGTTTGCTGTCTACTTAATTTATGTGTATTTGTTCTATGTTACTTTATCTTCCTATTTTGTTTAACTTCCATTCTGTGTTAACCTTTATTCTTCAGTACGCTCAATCGCTCGTTTCCGCCAAGTTGTTTTCTTAAACGGTCTCAGGTGACTGAATATTGACTTCATGAATTCTGTCACTGAATACGAAATCATGTATTTTCGACAGCCCCTTAGTCTTCAAAAACGATGTAGGCGGATAGTCGTTGGTACGTACAGTAAATTGGATGAGGAATGTTAATTCTGTTATTGGTAGGCTGGGTGACGTAATATATTCTATCAAATGTAATAGTTTTTTTTATATATACCCATTTGGATTTTTCAGCTATGAAGTAAGATGCTTTATGACAAAATTCAAAGTACTACTGAATGATGAAGGGTTTATAAATGAGATGAGATTAATGTATTGGTTTGGCTGACAGTAAAACTAAATGTCGTAAATCTCTGCCAACGACATCCTGAGACTAAAAGTATACTGAAAGGGAACTCCGGAAACATTTAATAACCGTAACCAGTGTATTTGAGACTGTCAATTGCAATGGTTTTCGAGTCAGAGACGAATCTTAGTATCTTCAGATAGTTTGACGACATGCATACATACATATATATTCTGAAAATAACTTTAGATTTTAAAACAGCTAGTCCCTTTGATAAATTTGGACGATGCGGTGAGAAGACAAAGGTCAACAAAAATATGTGACATATTTGCGCAATTCAAACAATCTGATTACACGTATACTTGTTAAGAATATTTATGCAACTAGACAAATTAAAAGGTAAGGAGAAACAGAGATAATAATAAAGTACGCAATGTGAAAACCACCCTGGATAATAAACTTAGAATTCCTGCCGATTTCTAGACTCGGTCAACTTTGTATAAATTGATAAAAGTACATACAATGGTCATCGTTTACTTATATTCCTTTCGTACACATACATATTGATCTAAATTTGATGGTATTTAATCTTCTCTATTTATTATTATATTGATTTTTATATTATTTTTTATGGCAGATCATAAATATTCATTATCCATTAATCGTAATAATAAAAAGTAAATTAGACTCACCAATCACAGTAATGGATGGATTTAGTTGACCTTTAACATTGAAAACAGGTAAAACTTCCAGTTTGGTAAATTGCTTATTAGGATTAGGATCGTTGGGTGTACCTTCGACACGGGCCCATTCCCCAATAACTGTATTCCATCCAATTACTGCATTCAAGCAACAAGCGTGTGCACGAATCTCAACATCCCTGAGTACAATGCATTCTCGTAAACGCACGCCTGCTTGTATTACAGCTCGTTCACCTATACTTACGTTGGGTCCTATCTGAAAATCGATAGAAAAAACCAATTCATTCAGATCATTAATCATAAAGAGAACTAGAGTTAAACGTTTAGCAGATTAAAATTTAACAAGAAGAAAATACATTGATTTACTCAGAACTTAGAAATTAATTTAATCTTATGAAATTTTTAAACAAGTATGTTGAGAATTATGTGATACATTAGTACGTTATGTACTATTTTCTAAGCGGTTTGCAAACAAGTATTATCCGTTTAGACTATCAAAAACTGAAAATGATCTTTGAATATGATATGAAACGAATACATAAACTCCCTTACTTTGATGTAAAAGTTATAAGAGCCAGGGTAGTCAAATAAAGAAATAACATTAACGCGCACATTCAGTGATTGCATCAAGGCTATATGTATGTATGCTTCTTAAATGAAGTATGTGGCTCAGTAATAAAATGACGAAATAAATAGTATCGACTAGGAATAAGCAATTAGGTAATTATGTGGATCAGATACGACTATGTCATAGATGTATTTGCTTTCAGTTTCCTTTAAACAATTAGCTTTTTTTATTTGCTAAAATTTATAAGCATTTAAATTAACTCCAAAATTTATAGTTTGAAACTGAACGAATATGAGGCAAATAAATACCACAGGGATTCTCTTCAATCGTTGAAAATCCTATCAAAACATGAGAAGTTTGAAGACTCGTAAGGTTACAAAAACTACCTCGAAATTATCTTGATGGAAGTGAATAAATAAAACATATCATTATGGGGTAGTGAAGTTTGTTGAGTTTTTGATTGAGATCATGAATTGAACAGTGTTAAACCTGTATTGAAAACGTGGAAGCACTGGACGGCCATTTCGTCCTATTATGGGACGCCTCAGCAGTGCACATCCATGATCCACGGTTGGAGTTAAACATTAACCATGTTGGATGCCAACTCACTGATCTAGAGGATAGGCATTCGTGCACGAAACTGAAAGTCCTGGGTTCGAGTTCCGCGTGTGGAGTAGTGGATGTGCACTGCTGAGGAGTTCCATACTAGAACGGCCGTCCAGTTTTTCTAGGTTTTCAATGGGGGTCTAACATTGATCGCTTCATGATCTCAATCAGAAATAAAACATAATTTGATATGAATGCAACCACTCGAAATTATTCATGATAACTATATATATATATATGTCTATCACTATGACCAATGCTGGTTTATATACAAACAAGGCGAAAATAGTCACGAACAATCAAACGGAAACAGTGTTAGTCTATGAAACGTTAGAGAAAGTCATATGGGGAGATGTAGACTTTCTGCTTAAAATCTACAACCAATGATTATAGATGTAATGATGTTGCTTTAAACCACTTTCAGTGGTGTCAATACATTCATCTTTTACGTCGTTCTAAATCACTAGCTTAATATAACATTATACCTTATATCTTTTATTCCGATTAATTCCTTTTGAGAAATATTGCTTATGTTTAGGCTCTTACTCACACAGATATTATTGTTCATATCTTCTACCTTTTACCTGGTCTATTTCTTTCGTCATGAAACGTGATACAACTTGAACTGGTAAATATACTCGTACTAGTCTTTAATATCGTGCATGACTAATCGGATTTTTCTATTACATTCAATAATGAAATCGTTATACTACAGCCTTTTTATTTCTATGCATGTATGCTGGTGAAAATATTTTCGGTAATATAAAGTTCAAAAGATTCTTTTATATTCAAATAAACATAGTATGACTTTTGATTCACTGTTGAATATTATTCTGATTTTATGATAAGAATAAATCATTTTTCATATCACATGTATACTCACAACAGCTGTTCGATCAATTGAAGCAGTTGGATGTATGAATACATGACCAATTATAATCGGTCCACAAATTGATGGTTGGCAATCTCCATTCATTACAACTAATGATGAATTAATGGGATCATCTAACATTTGTAGGTTTGATGAACTTGGTATTGTCATTTTAGCAAGTCTATGAGGATGTGTTCTTTCATAAAGTGACAATATATGACGATTAGCATAGATTACAGCACTGAACAAAAATAAAATGAGATAAATTATTCAGTTATTAAGATATATGACAAAATTTCTAATGAAATTAAAAAATATAATACCAGGTAGTAAGAATGAAGATAAACAATATTTAAGAAAATAACTGAGAAGCAACAATCATTTATATATTAGTTGAAATTTGTATAACGATTAAAAACATTTATCAAAAAAATAAATCTCGGTAAACTTCTTCAGAGACTACTGTTATGTGCATCTGAACTTCACGTATAAAGTAATAAACACTCATCTTTAGCTAATGTGACTAAACTGCAAAATTAAATACATGAAAATTGATGCGTCCTGCCACAGACTGTCTGGACTTTAATTTCAATTGGAATATAAAACTGGATAGCAAATTGAAATGTGTATTTGAATTACGACTGCTTCTCATCCCTGTTCAGTGGAAAAACATATTGTTAAGATAGGCTCATAGATTCAATTTGTCTATGGAATATCCACAAAATACAGAATTACACAATTAAATCTACTAAAATAATATAGTAACGATATTTAACTACAGAAACGAGATTAATTGTGTGACTGTAGTTACTACTGGGTGCCTATGACATTTTGATCTGACATTAAATGATTAATCAGAGTTGAGTTGAGTTCAGTCTACGTTTAGTCAATATTTAACTAGTTATCAGTGAAATGTATTTTCTTCGTCTTTTTCGCACTTGCATCGAATTGTGTGTCGTTTAGAAAATTGCGATGTTCCTAGTCAAAGAAGATGTAATCAAACTTCTTGTTCATAAATCGTTATTAACACAAGAGTTCCATTGTCATAAGCTGAAAAAGCTAATCAGTCAGTCAGTCAGTCACAACGTAGAACTTCGTACGTACGTACATCAGTTCGAGTTGCCATACCACATTAGCACAGAGATGCAGTTGTCGATTCGAATCCCATAGTGGTAGACGTAGTAGGAGTATAATCATAAAATCCAAAAGATTAGGGTTTGAAGAAATTATTGAAGGAGTATAGTACAGTGAAATAAATTTGGAAAGAGAAAAAGGTAGAGGCATGAGGAATTCAGAAGATTAGAAGTTGGTAGAACACAAAGAGTGGATGCATCTTCGCCATTGCAAACGATTTTGAGCAATGTCATTCAAGGTCTCTAACCATCGGTTGCTGTCATCTCGCGAATCCCAACCAGGTAGTCTACACCTACCAATATGGCCCAGTCCACTTGTCAGTGACTTCATTGATTTGTGCCACGTTTTGGTCTGACCACCCCTACCTTTCTTCCAACCTACTCCTACACCATGAAACATTGCACGTCGGGGCAGTCGGTGGTCGGGCATTCATAACACATGTCCCAGCCATCTCAACTGATGAAGTTTCACTACTTTACCAATCGATTTCCCATCCTTACCTAGTACCCGTTTCCTAACAACTGCATTACTTACCCGGTGGTCCCAGGATATACGAGCAATGCTTCGAAGACACCTATGATCGAACACTAGTAGCCTTCGAATATCCTCTACTCTTATTGGCCATGTTTCACTGCCATAAAGTAGGACGGAGCGAACTGCTGCACAGTAAACCCGTCCTTTGGTTGCAAGACGGATATCTCGCCTACGCCATAAATGATGCAAGTTGGCGAAAGCTAGACGAGCCTTCTGTATCCGTGCTGAGATTTCGTCACACACTAGACCACAAGGGCTGATGAGACTCCCGAGATAAGTGAAGTGGTCTACACGCTCAACTACTTCACTCCCTATCATTAGTTCAGGTGTCGCTGCAACCCAATCCTGAAGTAACATTTTGCACTTCGAGGGAGAGAATCGCATCCCGATCATGCCTGCATAGTTGCTTATAGTGGTCAGAAGACTCTGCATGTTGTCAGCGTCTTCACCGAGTAAAACTTTGTCGTCGGCGTATTCTAAGTCAACAAGTGAATCTCCCGGTAAAAGTTCAACTCCTGGAGGTTTAGCTGATGAAAGTGCTATCTCTAAAAGTATGTCAATGACAAAGTTAAACAAGAATGGGGAGAGTGGACAGCCCTGACGAACGCCACTTGTGGTAATCAGTTCTGATGACAGTTCGCCATAGGCTCTAACTCGACCAGTTGTGTTCGAGTAGAGAGCCTTTATGAGGTTAATGTACTTCTTTGGTACTCCTTTCAGTGACAAACATTGCCATAGAACCTCACGATCAACGGAGTCAAATGCCGCCTTAAGGTCAAGAAATACTACTATTGTGGGACGTCTGAATTTGTGTGTATGTTCTAGAACCTGACGTAGGGTGAATATCTGGTCTATGCAACCACGTCCAGGTCGAAAACCAGACTGGTTTTCTCTAGTCTGCTCTTCACGAGCTTTGGTTAAGCGACCTAGTATTATTGAAGCTAATATTTTAGACACTATATTAGTCAAACTGATCCCTCTGTGATTGTCACAAGAGGACTTTTGTCCTTTCTTATAGACTGGCACAATCAGTGATTGGGACCAGTCAGATGGAATTACGTCCAGTTCCCAGATTTTACCTAAGACCTCAGTCAATCTCACTGCTAGTACTGGACCACCATCCTTGAAAATCTCAGGGGTCAACCTATCAGGGCCTGCTGCTCTCCCTCGCTTCAGATTTCCTATAGCTTTTTCAACCTCACAGAGGGTTGGAGGACTTACATCAATTTGCCATTCAGAACGACTGGGGATCGTGGGTAATTGAAGTGTGGCTGAAGGCCAGTTGAACTGATCCCTAAAGTGTTCTGCCCATCGATCCAATCTCCTGGATTGAGAATGAATGACATGTCCACCTTTGTCTGAGATAGTTTCGCTAATAGTTGGGTTCCTAATACCGGTTTCTTTAATAAGTCTGAATGGCTGTCTGCTGTTACCTATTGCCACTTCCTTTTCCATCTCTCTTGCTTTCGCTACCCACCACTGTTCACGATCATTGCGTAGGCTTCTTATTAGCCAGCGATTAAGTTGACTCCGCTCTTCGTTATGTTCAGAGCCAGGTGGGATGAGTTTTCGAGTATCTATCAGTGCGGTAGATGCTGCCGAGATCCATTGTTTCTCCCTGACCTTATGGTTTACCTTACTAGCGGATATCACTGCTGTTTCCACAGCTTTTCGGATGTCATTCCACGCTGCCTCGGGGTGGACACAACTTACATGGCTGCCTAACTGTTTTCCTAGTTGTTCCTGAAATATATTCTTAGCTTGCCTATCATTAAGTAGAACCCTTAGAGGCTTCCCTGCAGTGTCTTTCCTACGACCAGTAAGACGCAGACAGATACGTGCTCGCACTAGAGCATGATCTGAATCTAAACATGTGCCCCAGAATGAGCGACAGTCTTCTATCGAGCCCCTCCATCGGTGGCTGATAGCGATGTGATCTAATTGGGTCCAACGTTGGGACGAATTCGGGGGTCGCCATGTCAAAAGATGTTTTTCCTTATGCTTAAAGTTAGTATTTGCAAGAAATAGGCGGTTATCTGAGCATAGCTGCAACAGACGGTCGCCATTATCTGTTCTTTTCGCCATGACACCATAAGATCCACCCAGGTGTCGATTGGATCATCACGATAGGCAAGCCCGACCACCACGTCAAGGTAGCAGCAACGGTCGGGTGAAAAAGTTAATAAATATAGGCTATATGTATTTAAAAATCAGGAAGTACTTGGATAAAACTTTGTATCATTTAGTTTCGTAGGAAATATGTTAATTTGCTCAGTCAGTGAAATTAATATGATATCTGCCTATAAAAGATCAAGTGCATAACATGTTGACGTGAGTAGTAACATCTTATAAAATAGAGAATACAATAGTCTAAATGGAATGCTTCATGTGCATAATTACTACTAACTCAACATCGGTTTCTGAAACCTATTGGATTTGTTTGTGATATTTGCTATTACATAAACACTCAGTAACGGTGAGTGATGTGTTAGTCTCCAACTGAACAAGGAGCATATGGAACCTAGAGTTCTTAACACTAGCGGTTGATTACACGACTAAATCGAATGCATATTCCAAAAAAAGCAAAAAAACTTTTAAGGTTGTCAGATAACAGAAGAGATAAGTGGTGTGTGTTGTCTCAGTTTCACGGTACATCCTAAAAATACGCCGTTTGATTGCTTTTTATATCATTGATATTCCAAAGGAAAGTTAATTCTGTTGGTGACTATAATAAAATGCAATAAATTCAGTTTTCTGAATCAGTCAATGTATATGCATATTAAGGGAAGAGTTTTGATCAGATTAAATAACAACTCACTCCAATCTGATTGCTATTCAAACATTTGTGTCAGTGACAAATCATTAGGGTTCCACACGTTGTGTTAAGTAGGTGAAGAGTATTGTTTCGATAATGTAATAAGAAGACGAAGATTATCAGAACTATGTGATATATTAGCGCAATACATTTCGAACAGTCTGATCACACAATTATATATGTGTATTCAAAAACAGTTTGTTCTCTACTTAAACCTACCCTGGTAATAAATGCTTATTATCCAGAGTGATTAGGTGTCAAGTTGTTTTCACATTATTTTATCATTATTATCCTTGTCTATTTCTTAACCTTATTACCAGTCTAGTTGACCTTTTATTTTTATATATAAATGTTCTTAACAAGTATATGTGTGATCAGATTGTTCGAAATGTATTGCGCTAATATATCACATAGTTCTGATAATCTTCGTCTTCTTATTACATTATCGAAGAGTATTGTGATCTACACTAACCATAATGAAGCTTTTCCCAAGTATCTTATCGACGTATCAGACTTTAAACTTCGACTTAAAATTTTCCAACCATCAGATTTCTCGCTTTATAGTTTACTAGTTTAGCACGTCAGTTAAGTGAGTCATGTTGAATTCATTTTTCAATATACGTTAGGTGGCTGAAATATTCAACAGGAAAGCACGGACCTGAATTACTTGTCAACAGAACATACCTGCAATCTCTAAGAGGTTGATTCTGGTGGATTCAAACCTGTGTCATTCAGTTTCACGGCCTGAAACGCTACGACTGAGATATATACATTGATTAATCACTGAGAAATGGTTAATATCATATTTGTCTAGTGCTCAGAACTGATCGAACAATATCGAAAATTGTGTTAAAATACATGATTAAAGCTAGAAATAACTGAAATTAGCCACAACATGTAAAACCTATCTTATGGAAATAAAAACCACGGTACTTTTGCGCAAAACTTTATACATCAATAAATTCAATTAATAAGGAGTTATAAAAGATTACCACATCCAAGAAAAACTAGTCTATTGATGTTTTTCGCAAAAATAGAGAACATCAACAGATAACTTCCTAAATTTTGTTACCCAGCAAATTTGATTTGACTCCAAAACCGATTGGTATGATAGACAAATAAAGTCCCACTTCCAGCTAACGGTTGACATATTTCTCGTTCTAAATGAATAGTTTCTTTGCATGAAGGCCTTAAATCATAACTAGAATTGGATACGAGAGAGAAACAGAAAAAAAAGAAGATTGGACAAATCAAAAGTAAAGTTTTTTTATCAATAGAAAATCCAGTACACAAGACATGTTCATTAAGAGTTACAGAACAATAATAATCGACGATGTACAGGTCAAATACATGTTTTATTGTAGTCTTAGTAGTAATAACGAACGTCAGAAATTGTACAAACACATGAAAAACTGTTAGTTTTATGATTTTCGAGAAACTAAACAATGGACAAACATGGACAATTTCAATTCTTCATTAAAAAATAATACGAAAATTGCTCCATAATTAAATGCACTTTGTGATGATAATGGAATGAATATTAAATTACATAAAGACAAAACACCACTCATCATTCATAAATACTTCAAATCATAATATCCGTGGTACGCTTGAACTATGCGCTACAATAATACGGCACACTTGTTGATGGATGACTCAGTAGATGAGTCAATAAGCATCGATAATATTAAGAGTGAATTAGATAATATATATAAGCAATATGCGTTCTAAAGTGTGGTCACTTGAGGGCTCTTTATCAAAACATGATGACCTTAAGCAAGAACAAAAGCACTATCACCACTTAAACTATTGTCGAAGGATGTGGCTCCTGTGGGACTTGAAGATATTATCAAAGTAGAATCTGTTATCAATTTTATCGCTAGCGAAGTTACTAAGCAACTGACCTCTCGAAATGATGTTATTACCAACAACAAACCTGAAAAAATTGCCCTTAAATCTGTGAGGAACTCGATATTAAAAGCATCTAACCTTCAAGATAATCCATGTCAATGTAGTCGCCCTAATAAAAAGCACCAGTTCTCGCGCCCTATTGTGTGTAGATTCCACTCACATTTACTAGCTGAACAGCTGAAGGAATCCGAACGGTTAATCTGTGCACTTACGAAGTTTATGAACGCTCGTACAGTCTCAGATAAAACCACCAAAGGTTTACGCAAAAGCGTACCTTAGACGAAAACGATGTAGAGATCACAAGGAATCCCGTTGCCTCAGCGGCAGGACCCATTGATGCAACTAACCCATCGCATGTCAGTTAATACTGTGATATATCAGTGAAGAGTGCTAATTTGCCATTTATGTGTGTAATGACCTCAGATAACCAATGTATACCTTATGTAGACATTAATCTAATATCTCCCAGTGTAACATTAAAAGCGCATACCCAAATAATTAATTCTAAAATGAAATCTTTCCAAACACTGTTAAGCTTAAAAGAAGTACAGAAGAAGTACATACAGAACTGTCTAGTTCCAAAACTAATACCAAGAATATTACACTGACTCAACCATACAAAAAATATACTTTCTGACACCACGTTTTGTGTCGTCGTCCAGGTAACCCTAAAATACATAACATCGATATGGCAGTTCTCGATTTTTTTTACATTACATACTCCCTTTTTAAACTTATTACTTATCTATGCATGTTCACTTCAAAATAAAATTTCGGCCTTGAGAACCTTAGCTTTACTAGTCAAGCCTTCTTCCATACTTGACACTGAAACATGGTGCTCACAACCAGTATCTGATTCAAATTAAATATGCGGAAGTACCAATTCTATCGCTGTAACGGAGAAACTAAGAGAGGGATTGGTTGTCTTACATATGCCTTGGATCCCCCAACAACAATAGAGTTGAGGACAGTGTCCTGAGTAGTTTACCTGAATTGGTCTGGATATCAATCAACACCCTAAATCATAATCCGCTCCTGGAATGTATATACAGAGCCCCTGATAGTTCGGATAATGTGAATGATCTTATTATCGATGCATTTATACATGCATCTGATCTAAACTACAATGCTCAGGTTATTACAAGAGATTTCAATTACCCTGGAATAAAGTGGAATACCGGGAGTTGTCAGTCATGTAATGATGAATTCTCAACAACCATTAACATGCACTGCTGGTCACAATGGATTCTTACCCAAACAAGGCGTTATAATACACCTGATCTAATATTTTTTAGAGATGTCATCCCACTATCTGTACAAGTATATAATAAATTTGAAAGCAGAGGCATTGACACATTCCATCTGACCGCTAACTCTTGTCTAGATTCTTGTGCACCTCTTAAAACGTACAGGTTTAGTAAACCAAACGAAATATTTATACCAACTGAATATCGTAATTAAATAAGACGCCTACAAAAACATTTTTTTAATTCAAATGAATTCACAGCAATTGCACAAATAACAACAGTTTTTAACTATATTAAAGAGCAGCACATGTTGAAAGCCATTAATGAGGAGCTGTTAGCACTTAATACTAGCTTAAAAGTACAAAACTTTATCATCCATTTCAATAAACGCGTTTACGTAACTCAAAATGTTAATATACCAAACATCCTGCATAGTAGCACTTTTATATACGACTAAAATCATAGCAGACCTTTTCAGTGTTATATTTTCGAACGATAGAGAATCCTTAAATGGCACTGTTTCAAAAGTCATGTATGTGACTAGAAACTCAATAAAATCCATCTCCTTCACATGCTATAAACTCCCTTAAGGTTTCGAGCGGTCATGAAGTAGACGGAATTTCATCATTTCTCTACAAATATGGTGGTTCATATATTACACTTCTTCTAAAGCTGTTTACTCTCTCTCTCTCACTCTCTCTAGAAGCAGATACCATTATTGTTGGAAAACCACGTTACAAAACTGGAGAAAAGACTGACATGAATAATTTTCGGCCCATAAATATTAATCCGGTTATCTTTAGGATTATGGAAAAATTGTTAGTGACGAACTCTGCAACTATACACTCGCTGTAAAATCTACCAGTGATTCTCAACAGCGATCTCTTAAAAATCGATCTTCTGTGACATGCCACTATGACTCCTTAAATTTATATATATATTCTTACAAATAAACTCGCATCTTAAGGGTTACAAAACCTTCTGCTTGCTTCGTTTCATTCCTTCCTCAGCAACCGACATTAAATAGTTAAAATCAACTATTCATTGTCTACACTCCCTGTTAGAAGCGGTGTAATACAAGGTAGCGTTAGTATTTCTCGTAGTATTTCTCGACTTTAAGGCGGCATTTGACTCCGTTGATCGTAAAGTTCTCTGGTAATGTTTGTCACTGAAAACAGTACCGAAGAAGTGTATTAACCTTATAAAGGCTCTCTACTCGAACACAACTGGTCGAGTTAGAGCCTATGGCGAACTGTCATCAGAATTGATTACCTCAAGTGGTGTTCGTCAGGGCTGCCCACTCTCTCCATTTTTGTTTAACTTTGTCGTTGACATGCTTTTAGAAATAACACTTTCCTCATCCAAATTTAGAGGGGTTGAGCTTGTACCAGGAGATTCGCTTGCTGACTTGGAATATGTCGATGACAGAAAGCTAAGCACTCAGACATAGTAATCGTAGCGGGTGTGTGACGAAATCTCAGCACGGATACAGAAGGCTCGTCTAGCTTTTGCCAAGTTTCGTCATTTATGGCGTAGGAGAGATATCCGTCTATCAATTAAGGGACGACTATACTGCGTAGCAGTACACTCTGTTTTACTTTATAGCAGTGAAACATGGCTGGTAAGAGTAGAGGGTATTTGTAAATTACTGGTATTCAATCATAGGTGTCTCCAATGCATCGTTCGTATATCCTGGGACCACTGAGTAAGTAATGCAGTTGTTAGGAAACGGGTACTGAGTAAGGATGGCAAATTGATTGGTAAAGTAGTGAGACTTCATCAGTTGAGATGACTGGGATATGTGTTACGTATGCCCAACCACCGACTGCCCCGACGAGCGATGTTTTATGGTGTAGGAGTAGGTTGGAAGAAAGCTAGGGGCGGTCAGACCAAAACGTGGCACAAATCCATGAAGTCACTGACAAGTGGACTGAGTCATATTGGTAGGTGTAGACCACCTGGTTGGGATCCGCGAGATGATAGTAACCGATGGTTAGAGACCTTAAATGACATTGCTCAGAATCGTTTGCAATGGCGAAGGTGCATCAACTCTTTGTGCTCTCCCAAATTATAATCTCCTGAATTCTTTATATACCTTTCTTTTTTTCTCTTTCCAAGTTTATTTCACTGGATTATACTCCTTGAATAACATCTTCAAACCCTAATCTTTCCGATTACTGCTTATAGTTTTACTACTTCTACCACTATGGGACTCGAATCAACAACTGCATCTCTGTGCTAATGTGGTATGGCAACTGAAACTGATGTACGTACGTACGAAGTTCTACATTGTGACAGACTGACTGATTTTCCTAGTACTCTTTAATCATCGTTACTTAAATAAGCTGATTTACGAGCTTGATTTAAATCTCCTATATTTTAAAACTTGCATTTAACGAAAAATTACTTACTTTAGTTGATTCTGATGTTCAAGAAAAGCTATACGAATAAATTTAAATATTCCAGGAGTAAATAGGTAAAGACCACAATTTATTGTTGTGCTGACGAACGTTGCTGGCTTCTCGACATAATGCATAACCTTTAACGGTTTTAGAATTGAATAAGACAATGAATAAATAAAGTGATATGTTTATGTATAGAATTAAAAGCATTACCAATAGTTTCGTGTAGAACACATCTTCATATATTACATCTCTGAGGGATACTACCGACTGCAGCTGCTATTTTGACTCAGTGGTCGACCTTGCCTATCGTGATGACTCCAACGACATACATGGGCTGGAACACATGTTCATTCTTTATCTTCCCCCAAATCCTGAACTTCTGAATTCCTCAAAACTTGTTTTATTTCACTGATTTATATTATCTTGAATTATCTTCGATACCTAATCTTTGTTATCACCACTGATACTGTTACCGTCTCTAGTATACTGGGATTTGCCCTGACAGTTCCATTTCTCTGTGCTAATGAGGGCATGGCAACTTGGACCGATGTACATAATTACCAGGTTCTATGCTGCGACTGACCGACTTGAGGGACATTATTACATATATCTTAGAAGGATATTATTCCACTTACAACACACACAAATACAACTACTTAATGCAACAGTGTGGTATTGAGTAATTCAGTTATCTACAAGCATATACACTAAAGTGAAATTAAGACTGATTAAATGGGAAAGAAAAGTAATTGTTAAGACCAGAAATATTTTAATGAATAACCAGTTGCTCACTTCATGGGTGTTGGGGTCTTCAACAATACAACCGAACTTCATAGATTGTTGACGTGTCGCCTATTTAAGAACAATAAATTACGAAATTTTTAGAAAGTTCACGATGCTCATGAAAATAATCTATCAAAATTCAAGAGAATAAATCAATACAACTTCAGTGAACCGATTAGGGACCGTCACCTCAGATTACCATAGCCGGTTGTATTTGTCAGATTTCGGTGCATTAGTTTTTGTTTAAATTCCCATACAATTTGGAGTTTGAAACCATTCTCGAGGATAACAGATTTTCTGTAGTCACTCCTGTTAAGTGTAACCAGGTAACAATATCAACAAACTACAGGTATATTGAATAAGGATAGTAAGGCGATGTAGCCTTCTAAAAACGTTGAGTGGTTACCGCATATTGTCCTTGCATAGTCAGTGTAAAATAACTTTACAGAACTCCTACTTATCCTAATAAGTGAATTTAAGTCATTCAAATGAATCGAAAAGTACAACCAGTCTTAGAGGATCCCACACACTACTTTTCTGTTGTACTCTTTGGTATTGCAAGGTTCAAGTATGTCCTATCCACAAAGTCAAACGCTTTCTCCTAATGAAGGAAGCTCTTGCATAGTGATGAATCCCATTAACTTGACTGCTCAACAATGATCCGTAATGTCACGATTCGGTCTGTACATGACTGGTTCTTACGGAATTCATCCTGTTGATCTAGACGGGTGTATAAATTACTGTTGATTCTTCTGTGATGTTTCATTGTGTTCTGAACTAAAACCATGATGTTTATTTTAACTGACATAAATTGATCTTGCGTACGTGTTTTTTCAGATGTTTTATTTGATAAACTAAATTTTCATTCATTTACTGTACGACCTAATTTGAACTGTCATTGGATTCAAAAGTGATCAATTGTTTTGCTTTACTGTTTCTATTATAGGGGTTCTCACTGAATTCCTTTTTAGCTACACCAAAATGTGAGTTGATAATCCAAAGATGACACTTTGATTTCAATCCACTGAGAGAAATTTTGCAAGACATTTAGGTTTTAACTGTGACATTCATTCATCTAATGAAATCTACGTTTTAAGAACTGGTATCCCATCTCTAGGGTCACTATTATGAAGACCTTGAATTTATTATTAACGTTTGGGGTTTTGAAATGATGTACGGTGTTCATTGATAGAGAATACACACAAATCAAACGAAATAATAAGTCTGTATTTGAATTCTGACTACTGTCAAGAAGTTATTAACTAAATTAAAGCCTTATAATCATAGATAACATTTCGGAAATTGGCTATTGTACAGTGAGGGTAGAATCAATGCTGATACAATTGGCAAAACAGGTTTTAACAGGTACACTGCAGTCTTCCACCAAATAGTTTGAAAAGTAGTAATGTGTACTACAAATGAGTCTGACGACACGGAACGAAGAAAATATAGCTCCACAAAGCAATCTCATAAGACAAAGTTTAAACAAGCAAAAGTGAAAAATTGTCAAACAGTCAAAGTAGAACCTGTTATGAGGAGAAAATCATACATTTAGAATTATTAGCCAAATATTTAAGGACGATATAAAATAAAGTGTATCAACTAACATCAGTCGCCATAATTAGAAATCGATCCCCAGTACCCAAACATTTGTGAAACTCGAGCATTTCCTCAAGAGGTAAATCACAACATACATCACCATTCATCACGAACAACAAATCCGGAGATCCAGATAATAATTGGTCACGGAATTGATATATACCCCCAGCTGTTCCTAGCGATGTGAACTCTTGTAAATATCTGTTAAATTTGAATGCACAACATTCCGTAGGATTATAAGTATAAATATATATCTTTCAACAAACAATTCAAATGAAACTCCTATTAAAATTTATTTAGGAATTAAGCCCATTTTTACATAAGGACAAAATATGAGACTTTAGGAAACCAAACTGTAGTTTATTCTTCACAGTTACGTAAACACCGTAAGGATAGTATAAGGATCAGTAAATATTAGTTAAGATCTTTTCCTCAGAAACAATATGCATCTTTGGCGCCTTCGTGATGTTATCCTGGCTGTTAAAGGTCGGATCTACAACGCATCGGTGAGAGCGGTTTTGCTCTATGCTTGTAAAATCTGGCATCTCCGAGTTGAAGATGTTAGACGACTCTCTGTACTTGATCATCGTTGTCTTCGAAGGATTGCTGACATCCAGCTACCATGGAACTGCATCTGCTAACGTTACTCTACTGCCTTGTGGATTAGACTTCTAGGTCAAAAGCTCGAGGAGTGGCCCTCTAAGAGAACCACCTGCTTCGGTTTGGACGCCCGAGCAGCATTCTAGCCCTCAAACAAATCGAATGACGAAGTATGGTATATATACATTTGGTACATACTTGTACTTGTACTAATTTTTGTGTTCAAATAAACAAATAAAAATAAGTCTACTAAGACCTTGTGTTCGAAATGACAGACCAACCCTCATCCTGGTCTCCAAATCTACTCGGAAAATGAATTAAAGCTGATCATAGTGATACAGACATATTTACTCCTTAAATTATCATAAATAATGTGAATGCTATAGTTTGAAAGATTGCGTACATGTCTAACTTTCTAATATAATTTCTGCAAGTATTGTCGCTTCATGGACTACTTAAAAGACTTCTAGTCTATAACCCGACAACTGAAGTATTAATCAGTGTGTAAGCCAAGGCTTTCATATAATCCAATCACTAAGCTATAGTTCACTGTCTTGAATTAGTGACGAAGGATTATAATTGTGAGAAAAAAACCCAAAGTGACAATGAAATAAGGTAAGAAAAATTATATAAACGAACACAACCCTCGGTGATGAAAACGAATTTATTTATTTAATCACATATATATTGGTACAAAAGGCACCGGATACATATGCGCCACACAAAATAATGAGAATGGGAGAAGGAAGAAGATGCGTATATATAAAAAAAGGGAAAAAAAAGGAGAAGAGTAATGATGGGGGAACTGAATGTACAACCAGAAGAGCTCTCTCAGTTAGGAAAGTTATAAACACTCTTTATGAAGAAAGTAAAAGAAGGTTACATCAGGCTCGCCACTAGCTTTTATTCTGAGCCATATCTGATAGCATCTCTAGCCAGTGTGTTGCACCATCTCTCGGACCCCGACTAGGGAGTCGTGAAGGACCAACAGAACCTAGCCCTTTGCACCTTTCTTTCATGCCACGACACCATGTCATACACTGACCTCCTCTCCGCTTTCTCCAACCAGTCCCAGGGTCGGCAAATAATGCACGACGTGGAAGTTTGTGGGACGACATTCGTAGAACATGTCCAAGTCACCGAAGTCGGTGTTCCAAGATGGTGACACCAATTGAATTATCGTCTTTGCGCCCCAACAGACGATGCCGAACCTCTGCATTACTAACATGGTGTTGCCACTGAATGTCAGCAATTCTTCGGAGACAACGATGATCGAACACAGAGAGTCGTCTAACATCCTCAACTCGGAGAGGCCAGGTTTCACAAGCATAGAGCAAAACTGCTCTCACCGATGCGTTGTAGATCCGACCTTTTACAGGAAGGCGCCAAAGATGGCCCAGATTGGCATAAGCCGCTCTGGCTTTCATTATACGTGCATCAATCTCATCACTCACGCCACCACCAGCACTTATGTAGCTACCTAGATACACGAACTTCTCAACTACTTCAATCTGCTCACCATCCAGGGTGAGTACAGGATGAGAATCCTGCCAGTCTTATAGGAGTACCTTGCACTTGGAGGGTACAAAGCACATACCGTACCTGCGGACACTGATTGCCAACTGATTAAGTGCGGATTGAATGCCTTGGGTATTATCGCACAGTAAGACAATATCATCCACATACTCAAGGTCGAGAAGTCGTTCTCCAGGCAACATATCCACACCGCCATTACTTACATCCATCAGAGCTGTTTCCAGGATGTCGTCGATAGCAAAGTTGAAGAGGAATGGTGAGATCGGGCAACCCTGCCTAACCCCACTGCTCGAATGGAACAAGGGAGAAAGGTGGTTGTATGCCCTCACTCTGCCTGAGGTGTTCGTATACAGGGCCTTTAAGATGTTAATGAACTTCTCAGGCACACCCTTCTTCAATAGACAATCCCAGAGAACAGTCCTGTTCAACGAATCGAAGGCAGCCCTGATATCAAGGATTAAAATGAAACTAAGATCTGACTGGCTACACAGCGTGCAGGATGATGAATTCTCAAAAGCATTTTTTAGGATGAACTCGCTTCTGTACTCAACAAGCAGATTTAAATCAACTGCGTTCACTGACTTTCAGTATTTCACTTGTATTGATTTATTTGACAGTTTATTTTAATTTTAGTGGTTAATGTACTGTGACTTTGTGTCCATGCGACGATCGCTCAGTTTGTACTCAACGAACACTGAATTTAACCGATGTATAATGCAATAAATATATAGTTTATTTCTTCTGTGAGCCTGTGAAATACAAACTTCTTACAAGATTTCTTTGTCGTTGATATATTGTGTATTGGTCATCCGGTTTATTCAGCACCCAGATCCTGTTTCATATTAGAAAAATCTCTTGATTGTTTTCAGTCACTCAAGTGATGAAATCAACAACTAATGTGCGACGGCCTCTGCATCAATAAGCCTCAACATACACAAAGAAAAAAGCAAGATCTTCAAATACAACACGAAGAACGCCAAGCCAATCACACTTGGTGGCGAAACTCTAGGAGAGGTGGAAACATTCACGTACCTGGGAAGCATCATTGATGAACAAGGAGGATCGGATGCAGATGTAAAGGCGAGGATTGGCAAAGCAAGGGCTGCATTCCAACAACTGAAGAACATATGAAAATCAAAACAACTCTCGACTAATTTCAAAGTGAGAACCTTCAGTACGAACGTCGAGACAGTTCTACTGTACGGGGCTGAGACGTGGAGAACTACCACATCCATCGTCAAGAAGGTACAAGTATTTACAAACAGTTGTTTACGCAAAATACTCAACATTCACTGGACGGATACTATCAGCAACAGCATTTTATGGGAGAGGACAAACCAGCTTCCAGCTGAAGTGGAAATTAGGAAAAGACGTCGGAAGTGGATCGGACATACATTGAGGAAATCACCAAACTGCATCACGAGGCAAGCCCCAACTTGAAATCCGGAAGGGAAGCGGAAAACAGGAAGGCCAAAGAACACACTACGCCGGGAAATGGAAGCAGATATGAAAAGGGTGAATAGCAACTGGAAGGAACTGGAAAGGAAGACTCAGGACAAAAATGGATGGAGAATGCCGGTGAGCGGCCTATGCTCCTCGACGAGGGGTAATAGGTGTAAGTAAGTAAGTAACCTACAAACCAAGATATATAAAGCGAAAGTCCTCTACTTTGTCCCGGTCAGTATTCACTAACCTCTTAATGCTTTCATGTATTCTTTGAACTTTATATGGTATTCTTATTTCTCTTCTATCATTATGATTATTTTGAGATAGCCGAAAATCGGAACGCTCAGCGCAACTGTTAAAATGACTATGTTGGTTAAAATACACTAACTATATATTTCCTTCAGTTAGTCAAGAAACTGATTACTGATTGATATCATGTATTGAGTCTTTTAAAATCTTTGTGATTGTTTACTCTTATCATTTGCTGCAATGTCAGTCCATCTAAATGTTACAAAAAACAATTTAAAAAAATAAGATGACAATCACATTTTTGTATTCTCAAAGTCAGTCATCTACAACGTAGGACCAGGTACATATATGCATCAGTCCAAGTTGCCACACTTCATTAGTACAACAAGATGAGCACCTAATTCATAGAAGCAATCACTTTAATGACAGTAATACATAAAAAACGATTGCAAATAAGAATATAGTACGGGGAAAAATTATGAAAAGGATGAATAACAACTGGAAAGGATTGCCCAGGACAGGGTTGGATGGAGAGTGCTGGTGGGCGGCCTATGCTCCTCCAAGGGGAGCAACAGGTGTAAGTAATTTTAGTATGACTCATAATTTTTATTTATTTCGATAAGATAAGCAATACTGGCCGGTATGTTCGTGCGTTCCGCTTAACGACTATAGTTCTTTTAATTGTTGTTTTTATATTTAGGAATGGATAAAGTTAAAAGCCAAGTTGTCCTTGTTCTGACTATAGCTTTCACATATACTCTGGGGTCGCCCGTATCGTGTTTAAAGTTCTAGTAGAATATCTGTAGGAAAAACTAAATCCTACACTTAGGTATCCAAAAAATACTAAAAAATAACAGAAAATCAATAAACATCAAAACTCTACACACCTAACAGAAACTTTGAACTCGTGTTGAGCATTTGAAATCAGCTGGTTTAGAGCCTCATTTGGTTGGTAAAATCCCAAAAGAATGATTTCTCTCAATCCCGGTAACTAAATCACAATGTCGAATTCTAATGATTACCTTGGAAAATGCTTCAATATGATGATAAACAACTGGAAACCCAGCTATCGGAAAAAGTGGTTTCGGTAACTCCAACGAAAGTGGCCTGAAGCGAGTCCCTTTATTTGAAAAAGTAATCGAAATGCCAATTATTACCTTTACATGGACCACCAATTAGGATTATAGCTTTAATTTTTTTCGTGCTATCAGTAAGTACAACTTCATCATTTTCCATCTTCTTGTGAAGATATTTCTAGATCGCACTCAAAACCAAGTAGTTACTACTGAAATAAAGGTAAGCAAAATGTAATAAGTAAATGAATCCTTTGGAAGCATCAGTAACTGAATATTTTCGGCCTTGAGAGGCCATGTAAAACAAGTATAGAGCACGACGAACTACACCAAGAAAATCCTTGCCGAAGCTTCCCCGGTCAAGTCAGGGTCACAATAATATTGAAGGAAGCTTACGCCAGCATATACCTCATTGACTTGTAATTTCAATCTTATTGTAAGTGGTTTAAACCCGAAAACAGACACCAGATAACTTTGAGATTGTTAGAGTACTTGAAGCATTGCGTCTGTCACTTTAGGAGTAAATATTAAATAAGTGATGAACATCGGGAATAAAATGTTGATATTTTAAAAATGAATTTTGACCAGTCTCGGTTGACATGTGTGCAGATGGCTTCGATATAGCTGATTATGACGTACGTTAGTGCTAACTTATACCTTTGCAGTTAACTTTTGGTAAATTAAGGATTTAAACAAATAATAAAGCTGAAACTCATGTGAAACTATCTTTTCCTTAGAAGACAATAAACAGGGGAAAACACTACCTGTGTCAGAAGTTCGGCAACGAGACAGTGAAGATTTTCAATTAGTGCATGGCCAACCCAATTATATTAGTTCGTGCCATAACAAAAGACATAAATACTCTGAATGGTTTTATACTCGCAGATCTAAACAAAGCTTTCGAATGTTTCAGTTCCAAATTTAAGATCGATGCTCCGGGACTGGTTCAACAAGTACAGACACTGTAATATCAATTCTGCCGGAACACAGCATTAGTATTTTATGTTGATATATCTGAGGTGACATTGAATCGCCGTAATATCAAATATTCGTGGAATATAGGTTAACCGCCGTTCTATGATTGCAATTGGTGAATTAGCCTAGAAACTATCGACAATCTAGTGCAGATTGGACATCAAATACATTCTTCTAAGCAATACTAAACTTTTGAACAAATGGAGATTAAGTAACTATGCTTCAAATAAACTGTCACACCAGATAGTGAATTAGTTTAGAAACAGTCTACAGCGAAAAGCTGCAATTAACACATTAGCTACTAACCCCTTTAAAATCCACTGCTTGATGAACCGAGTTTTTATATAATTGAGAGGGGCTTTGAATGTTATAAATATTGTAACCACCGGAATTAGTTAAGATGACCCCTAACTAGATCCGATTAGTTTCCTAACCTCTTCTGGAGACTCAATGACCTCCAAAGTAGAATTACCGCCCTAACACGATCTTGTTGAGCGTTAAATAAAAGGATGATGACATAATAAACTGTTTTTTAACGTGTTCTCAATATTTCAAATATCTTTTCAGACTTGGAAAGAGGTGGGAATCGGTCATTTATTAGAATAGGTGTGTGGATTTTAGAAGAGAGATTACAGTTTCAGTTTGGAAAGGACAGGAAGCTTGATGGCCTGTGTTAGTTCTGGCAATGATGGTGTCTCATCTGATCCAACTTTCTTTTGAAGGAGTCGACGGATGGAGCCTCAAACACGTACTGAGATAATGAATTCCACTCGTTGATGATTCGATGGGAAAGTCGGTAGTCAGCTGACAAGTAATTCGTTCTGGGCTTGTGAACTTTTTTGAAGTGTCCTCGTAAATTTTCTGTTTTGGAAGACAAGAAAAATGAGGGCATATCAGGTGCAAATTTGTCATTAAGCAATTTGAAAACCGTAATCAAGTCGCCTGTGATTCCTCTATATGACAGCGGGAATAGGTTTAGCTTCGTCAGTCTGGTACCATACGGGAGCTTCGCCATTCCGGGAATCAGCCTAGTTGCTGTTCTCTGAAACCTTTCCAAAAGTTCACTGTCTGTTTTTAGGCATAGGCTAGCTGCTTGTATGCGGTACTCAAGTTTAGGACGTACGAAAACTGTATACAAAGTCAGAAACGTTTTAGCGTCAACATGCCTAAAAGCCCTACGTATGGACCATAAAGTCCTAAAACCTTTGGCGGCTATTGCCGGCAGTGTGCAGTAGTCTTCAAGTCTTGACTGACGATGACTCCTAAGTCATTATGTGTCTGGACAATAGGTAGCTCAGTATTATTCATCGCATGTTTATCTGTACCTTGATGGCCAATATGCATCACAATACACTTGGAAGTATTTATCGGCAACTGTCAGGTTTGGGACCATTCAGATAGTTTTTCCAAGTCATTTTGGAGTTCTAAGCTATTGATCTTACTTTGTATCGCTCTCCACATCTTGACATCGTCAGCATACAGTAAGACCGGTGACGATAGTAGACGAGGGAGGTCATTTACGTACAGGAGGAATAACACTGGCCCCAAAACTGTACCCTGGGGGACTCCACTAAGCACAGTTTCCCAGCTAGACAACTTAGAGTTCACCCTTACTCTTTGTTGACGCCCAACTAGGAAGTCTTTTATCCACATCAATAGATTGTCTCCAATCCCGACATTCCTTAGCTTATATAACAGCCGGTTATGCGGAACTTTGTCGAAAGCTTTGCTGAAATCGATGTAAGCTAATAATAATAATAATATATTTCTGCAATAGCAGGTACACGCCATTTTTACAGGCATGATCTACAATTTACAACATATACTGGTTCACAGTATGCATCCCAAGCAAGGCTGTTTAGTAATTATAATCTATAAAAGTTGATAGCAGTTCATTCATTCAGATATAATGTGTTTTCATAAGAATAGTTTCCAAAGGGGCATCGCGTCCACGTTACATACCAGATCCAATCTCGACAAAAAGTGTGATAGGGTTTTGGTCGTGCTAAGTATTTATGTAATGCAGCTTTTTAAGTTTGTTGTTGTTATAAAGTAGGCTTGTGGAGCGCCTGGTTCGAGCTATGACCTTGGGAATGCGCGCTCGTCGAGCTTGTTCCAGATGTCCGAAGTTACATAGCTTCACCCTCAGAGCAAGATTCTGAAGAAAAAAAGAGAGAAACCGAGGAGCAGCAAGGCATTTGGATATGAACGATAACCAATGCTTAACATTTATTAGTGGAACAGATGGAGGTATGATAAATTATTAGATTAAATTGATACTTGCTCATGTTGCAAGAGTGAACTGCGATTAGGGGCTCCAGAGGAGAGAAGGCAGTAATAAAGAACAATGAGTTGTGATATTTATCAAGGTGGAGTAGATTCCAATGAAGGAGGGAAGTCAAGGTTGGAATGAGGAAGAACAGAGAGTGCATATAGAGAGTGTTGAGTAAAATAGCAACCATATCCTTTACAGTCAGTTTTTTTCATCATCCGATGCCTGCCACACAGATTTCATGTAAAAGTCCGAGTTAGCATGTTATAGGTTGTCTTAGTAGAATAATTAATCCAGCGCAAAAATTAGAAACATGAGTCTTAATGGTGAGTGTAGGAGAACAATCTCAATATCACAGATCTATTGGCTCGTTCTCATCCATAAAGAGCCTGATACAAACAAAATGTTCTGCTCCACAAACACGGGCGCATTGAAATCATCGCCCTCACCATCAGTGCTTGCTGGTCAGTAACTCCACCCTCCCTCCATAGGTAACTTTTGGTCCTTAAGAGCCCACCAGCTTTCACGAGCGATTAATAAGTTTGTGAGACAAGAGTAACCTGTTCTAAAACCATGCTGCTTTTCGGAGAGGATCCGGTTTTCATCGAGATACATTAACAGTTCCTTCCGAATAATCTTTTCTAAGATTTTAACAACCACACTAGTTAGGCTAATTGGTCGGTAATTCTCATTCTTATGTTTTGAGCCTGTTTTGAAGACTGGACTTACTATGGCGTTCTTACAGTCTTTTGTTAGACGACCCTGGGTTACGGATAGATTAAAACATACACTTAAAGGGTTCGCAACAAAGTTAGCTAATTCCTTTAGTAACCTAGGATGCAGTTTATCGGGTCCAGTGGATTTACCTATGTCAAGCTTAACTAGCAGACCAAAGACATCGAGTTCTTTAATGGTCACGCTGTCCAGTGCTTGTGTGGGGGATTTTCATGGACTGGTGAAGAGGGTGTTTCTATGGCATATACATTGCTAAAGTATTTAGAGAATACTTGAGCTTTGCCAAAGTCGTCCTCCACTAGTGATGTGGCAGTACTGTCTCCCCATAGTGAAGGAACATTTCTTCTTTCTGTCCTTTGGTTTAAATACGAATACAAGCGTTTAGGGCATTCTATAGATTCCCTAACGATTTTCTCTCCGTACAGCTTTCTGGCCTTACGGAGGGTCGAGGCACAGGTATTTCGAGCCTTTCGATACTGAGGTTTTGCCTCGTCAGTCCCCAGTAACCTAAATCTATCCCGCATTTTCCTTCTTTTACGGAGAAGGATGCGAACCTCCCTACTGAACCACGGTGGGGAGTTTCTCGGCCCCTTAGGTGTAGTCCAAGGGATGTGGGGGCGGTAACTTTTAGGTATAAATTCCGGAATACGTCCCGAGCCGTTTCGATTGATGACTCTGGGTCTATTTTCCAATCTACTGATGATGCTGATTTCATGATGTCTGGTGTGTTTGCTTTTCCAGACGTTAGGTCTGGATTGAGCTGAGGCGTGCTCGTGATCGACAGTTATATGGAAGTCAAAGGTTAAAACTGCATGATCACTTTTGCCTAGGGGTGGCATGTAATCCAGGTTTGCAACATCATCCTCATAATGAGTCAATATAAGATCTAGTAAGGATGATGCAGAACCCGGGTCGTACCTAGTTGCTTCCTTCACGTGTTGCACTAGGTCACATGTGATTACCTCATCAACTAGTTCCTGTTCGAAGGAATTTGCTGACGATTCAGTCCACAGATTTCCCCAGTCCACCATGGGTGCATTAAGGTCCCCTAGGATTAGACATCGATCACTTCGTGGTAAAGTGTTGAGACTGCTTAGCAGGACCTCGTTTACCTCACAGCTTGGACTGCGATAGATCAAACTAAGCAGCAACTCTTGTCCCCTGCATTTCAGGCGGCAGCAAACTAATTCATACGTCCCACTGTCATGGAATACTGTCGATAATGGTGAATGGAATAGCATTCCTAATGAAGAGAGCTACTCCCCCTCCTTTACGCGTTTGTATTCTATCGGCTCTTACTAATGTAAAACCTTCGAAATCAAGTTCCCTACTATCTATAGAGGGCGTCAGCCATGTTTCTGTGACTGCGATTATGTCTGGCCTAGTTGAGTCAATCTGTACATATAGTTCCGGTAGCTTATTGAGTAAAAATTCTAGTATTTAATCCGAAAGGGAATAAAGATATTGATTATTAGTTCTAATAACCATTATCTTAGTGATGAGAACATATAAACCTAAATCTTTGGCGGCACCACCTGTTTGAAAACAAGGAGCAGCCACAGACTAGGTATATTAAGCCACAGGATGGTGTAGCGGTAAATAAATCCCCAAAATCATCAGCTCTGTAAGTTTTCGACATTGAATTCTGACGACTTTAGTTTTAGTGGACTCACCAAGCTGAAGGCTCACGGTCGTGGACCCGCACCAGATCACGAGTAGGAACGCCGTGTTCAACTTCTCCTGCGATCACTAGTCAGTTTAGATCAGTCACTTCTCGATTAACTGATAACCTATCAAACATATCCTCCATCCTCCTCGCTTCTGAGTTTTTATTTCACTGGGTGGGCACTATTCAATTATAGGTGTTGCTGGTTAAAGTGTCTTCAAACTAAAGTACCTTTGGTATATTCAGTAATTCTGAAGACTGACAGATATTTGAACATTCTCACATTATGAGAAGACTTTACTCAGTAGATTTCTTCCCAAACCTAGAGTCTGAGTAGCGGTTGGACAGCTGTGTGGAAATGAACTGCAAAGTATATTTGAGTCCCTAATGTTATTATGCGCTAAGGATGTAGAAATCTGGCGAGAAATATTAGGAGATGCAGATGCATATGAGTATATGTGCACTTCAGACAGTTTTAAATATTTTGGTTAGCCGGTCTGAAGAGTGCCTGATACCTATCAACGCGTCATAGTGCGTCTACTTGCACTTTGGGGATACAAAGGTAAAGAGGTACAGCATAGTGGAAATGCTTGTACTCGTGTTTCGGTCTCACAAGGGTCTTGTGGTGAAAGTCACGATCTTAAGACCACAGACCATCTCTGGGAGTTATGAGGTGTATAACCCTGTGAGCCCTAGAGCGGACATTCACCAAGTTAGATATTACAGTGTTCAACACAGTATACATAACCTTGATAACAAGTAAATCAAAAAAGTGAGTCCAAGCCACAAGC